TTTTTGTTTGTTATCCTTCCAATTTTATCCTTAAATATGCTTGGGATGATTTTATTTAGATGGATTTCTTGCCAAACTTGTTTGAATCTGGACTATTTCTTACTATTTTCTGGGATTATACTGTTCATATTATTCTACCTTCTCCTACAAGATTGTGTAAATAGTTTGGCCGTTTTCTTTCTCCACTTGGCAAGGTGATCAAGTATATGCTAGCTTTGTACTTCCTAGACTTCCTAGACTCACAAATGATTGACATACATGGTCAAACTTCCTTAGGAAATGCCTCTAGTCAGTGTTGATGTCTCTTGGGTCCATTTCCTGGTTTTCTACGTCAACGGTTTGAAAAAAAAAAAACAAACTGACCAGGTTGGAGTGATTACAGGCCACTGTCTTCTCCTTTTTACTCAGCTTGTTGTCAGTGTTGATCTTTTTTTCCTAACACTTCTGTCAGAAGTGAACATACCCAGATAGCTGATTGGGAATCAATTCCTATGATCGTAAGCAGTTGCTTCCTGTACAAATATAATTCATTGTCATTTTTTTTGAGTGATATTTGAGGTTTGTCATGCCTAATACCTCATGACTCTTTTAAATAGTATTATAGGTTCTTTTGAAATCTCAACAATTCCCAAGTACTCTCCTACTCTGCCCCTCATCACTACCACTGCCACCAGTACCACCACCCAAAAAACCAAAACAAAACCTGTTAAGCAAAACCCTTTCTTCTCAGGGCTAAGAAGTCATTACGTTTCCAGCTTCGTTTTGATTCTCCTTTTGTTTACAATATTGTTGTGCTTTTTCTTGAATGTTCTGTAGGTGTGGGGCTTGTGTACAACCAATACACTTTTGGCCTCTTTCTTTTTCTATTCTTAAACTGTCATTTCCAAAGTCTTCTTCACTGACATGCCTTTTGTTCCCACATTTGCATTGAAGTCACTGGGTATTAAAGTCTTTGTCAGTTCACTTTGGAGGCACATCTTATCGAATTCTTGTAGAATTTCCCTTCCTAATCCTCAGCTTGGCACCACATGTTAGTCTGTGAGCTGCAATGATCTTCCTGTAAATGCTTATCAACAATCACTGCTTAAATGCTCTATAAAATGATACCTTTGGATACATGATAAAGCCAACTCTGCCAGCTCCCTTCTTTTCCTCTCTAAGAAGTTAAGAACCATCTTTTGATTTTGGTGTAGCTTCCTTTTGTTTTTGAGTTTCATTTATAGCTAGGATGTCAGGGTTGGGAGGATTCATTTGCTCCTGCATCGTGTCCACTCTGTCATGAGACAAGGATCTCCCAGTTAGAGTACCAGTAGCCAGTCTAAAACTGGCATTCTTGGCACACTTTGGCCCCTTTCTTGGCACTCTGCCATTTTCAGTGAAGAAACAGAAGACTCCAGACAGGACTGAAGGTCATTTGTATTTTTGTATGTTTGATGGGTTTTTCTGGCCGAATAATTTATCACAAGTGGCCGGCCTACTGGTGATGAGCCTCTCCATTGCCAGGCTGGATCTCAGAAACCAGACTGGAGACCTCAACAGAGCCTGGGCTTAGTCTTGGAAACCTCCCTGCCAAGCTGAGGCATCAGAATCATAATGATAGTGACAGCTGACATAGAGTTTTCAAAGTATTTTACATATTAATTCATTTGATCCTCACAACAGCACTGTGAGGTTAGCGCTATTATTGTCCTCATTTTTATCACCAAGGATACTTAGGTTCGGGAGGTCCAGTGACTCCCAGAGTCCCATGGTGTCATTATGTGTGAACCTTTGAACCCAACTCTGCCTGACTCTGTGTCCAGTGCAATAGCCCCTTTGCCAGGAAGGTTCCTAGCCTCAGAACTGTTTAAAAAAAAAAAAAGAGTAAATGAGGTTAGTCTAGTGTGACCTGGGGTTTTGGAAACCATCTTTGTGATCACTCCCTCCTTTCTACATAGTTGTTCAATAAGCATGCTTTAGTAATACATTCTGGAACTTTGCCAAGAATTTGGAGCAAGCTCCCTGGCCTATAGCTTGTACACTACCTGAGCTTCCAGTTTTGAAAAGTAGGATAATGTTTTCCCTCTCCTGCAGTTTTCTGATGCCTCACGAGTTCTCTGTGGTCTTTCTAAAATCCCTGCAAGGGCCTCACTAATCATGCCTGCTTATTCTCTCATTACCCCAGGATGTAGTTTATCTGGGCCTGGAGACATGAACTTTTGAACTAACTAGAGGCACTAAGTCTTCTCTTACTATTTTCCTATTGAAAAGTTGATTAACTTGTAATTTTGATTATGACAACTGTTCTGATTTAGCCAGGACCATAATCTTGCCATAAATTTACCTTGTGTAAGACAGGAATAATTGTACTTGGAGTTAGGGTTGGGGTTGGGTAGCTAGATGGTGTAGTGGACAGAGTGCTGGGCCTGGAGTTAGGAAGACCTGGGTTCATATTCAGCCTCAGACACTTACTAGCTGTGTGACCCTGGGCAAGTCACTTCACCTCTGCTTTAGTCTCCTTATCTGTAAAATGGAGATAATAGTAGCACCTACCTCCCAGGGTTGTTATGACAATCAAATGAGATAATAATTGCAAAGTGCTGTGCACAGTGCTTGGTATATCATAATCACTATCTAAATGTTAGCTATCATAATTATTATTGTTATACTTCATTTTGTGCACTATGTGACAGAATGCTTTTTCAGCTTGAGATGACCGTGAATTGAGGGAATTTAGTTGGAAGTGTAAATATGGTATCTTCATTCTTTTAAATGTTAAAATGGAAAAAACAAGCAAAAAGGGGCAGCTAGGTGGCACAGTGGATAGAGCACCTGCCCTGGATTCAGAAGGACCTGAGTTCAAATCCGACCTCAGAAACATAACACTTACTAGCTGTGTGACTCTGGGCAAGTCACTTAACCCCATTGCCTAGCCAAAATACAAAAAAAAAAACCAAAACAAAAACCAAGATGTTATAATGGGGGAATTTCCCTGTGCCAGGGAGTACTTGTTTTTAATATGTAATCATATTATGCACTCCTAAATTAGGGCCATGTTTATGGGGAGCTACATCCTGCATGTAGGGTGCCATAGGGTGGATTCCAATCAATCAGTAAATACTTCTTAAGCACATAGTGCTTAATAAGCACAGGCACTGTGCTAAGGGCTCAGGATACAAAAAGAGGAAAAGTCTAATTGGAAGGGGATGGGGAGGGCAAGTTTGTCTGTTTGAGGCTGGTGAATACTGACTTATAAAGAGCCAGGGGATGATTATTTTAAAAATGAGGAAAGGTAAACACAGAAACATTGAAAGAGATGATTTTTAGGTTATTTTGTTTTAAAATGGAATCACTATCTGGCATAGAGTTTAGCAGTTCTAAGGGAATGTAGAGGTCATTGAATCCAACAGGAACCTGTATAGGGTTCTCTGTAAGATCTCCATTTTCAAAGAGCATCCAGCCTGCTCAGGCCATTTCAGTTTTGAACCACTCTCTTTGTTAGGAGTTTTTCCTTGTTCCCTAAATCTGCCTCATTGATATTTCTTCTGTTGCTATTATTGCTGATCTCAAGGGCTAAGTAGGACAAGGCTAATCCCTCTTTCAGATGATTACCCTCCAAAAACCGATGATAGGAATTATATTTGCCCTAAAGGTCTTCCTTCCTCTGTTCCTGCAGCTTTTGCTCATACAGTGTCATATCCTGTCTCTTCAGTGTCCATCCTAAAACGTGGCACATAGAATTGAGCACAGTGCCCCCTGGCTGGGCCAACCAGAGCCTAGCACGTGCACTCTGCTATCCTGTCACCTGGGCTTTGGTCACTGTCCTTTTCCTGATGCATCCCCAGAAGAACCCATATCGAAGTCTGGGGGATAAGGGTAGAGAACATAAAAGGGTTCGTGGGTCAGAGCCAGTGAATTTGAATTACCAAAGTGTGTGACTTGCTCAGCCAGCCAGCCATTTGGGGAAAAGCCCCAAAGTGGGTGTACCTGGTGCTGGAAGAGGAAAGGTCCCTCTCACTCCAGGGACCATCCCACACCTGTGGAAGCTCGGAGCTTTGGAAGGAGCCTGGGATGTCATCTGATCCAGTGTCTTCATTCGTAATCCATGACCATTAACAAAAGTAAAACCAGACCCATATACAATCAAGAGTTTCAAGAATTCGTATACGACGCTAATACTGTGGTTAAAATAAAAAATCTATACTTTTCCTGTAACAAGATAGTTTCTGCATCTCTTTTTAAACTCTTTCGCTGTGTGTTTTTCTGTAATGCCATTATTGTTGTGTGCTTTGGACTGCCATCTGTACATTGGGGTTTGATAATACTTTTTTCCCTCCTCTCTGTGATGCTTCCTATTTACTTATACTTGAAGTTTCTCATTTCTTCTGGCTTAATATTCGAAGATGTTTGTATACCACAGTTTATCCACCCATCCCCTGATTGCTGGATAATGCCACCCCTCATTTTGGAAATGAGGAATCTGAGACCCAGATAAGGGAAGTATTTTGCCGATGTCATGTAAGATGACAATAGACAGACCCACTATTGGAAAGGTAGTAGAACCCTAGTTGATGGATGGTTAAGGACCTGTAGGAATGGGGATTGACTACAGGAAGGTGTAGAAGAGATTATTTCCTATTTTAAGTCTGTGCCACTGTAACTGAAGAGCAGGAAACTACTTTTGATAGAACTTAACCCTATCCTAGAAGTCCCACGTGTTAGGATAGTTACATACTTGAGCTTGACTGTGTTCTGGACTGTACAGGGAAAAAAAAAAAAGAGAGAAACCTGAGAAAAAGAATTGTGGGGACATAGGAATTTTGATGTTTGAGTGGGAACAAAAAGTGACCTTCAGATTGTTGATTTCTAACATTTGAAAGGCACTTTTGGCCCTACCAGTGGGTGAGATAGGGTGTTGTGCATCCCATTTTGTCAACATTTCTCATAGATAATCATAGAATCTTATTTCATAACAATACCATGAGACAGGTTTAAAATCAATTTCCTATTTGTTTTTCCAGTAATGATCACTTCTGCCAGACAGTTAACTGGATATGCTCGCTTCAGCCATGTATTCCCCTCATCTTCTTACCAACAAATGAAGATGCACAAGAGAATTCTGGGTCACTTATCATCTGTCTACTGTGTAGCATTTGACCGAAGTGGGAGAAGAATTTTCACAGTGAGTTTAAAGTTTGTGATTCCATGTTAGTATTCACGATTTATCAAGAAGGTAGATTTCATGCCAATGTGTTTTCATAAGCACCAAGTTCCTTCATTAAGGACTTTGAATAAAGAAAAAGATATTAGTAGAAACTTTGATTTCCCCTCATCAGTTATTCTATATTCTCAATCTGTATTTTCTTCCTTTGGAAAATTTTAATTTTAAAACGTTAAATGCACGCAAGCCCTGATAGTTTTATGATGAAAAGTTTATTTCATATAAATTGTTTCTTAAATGCGTTTTTCTATTTTTTTCACATAGCATGTTGATTACCAGTTTTTCTTAGTAAATCCACAGCTATATGATCCTTATACCTGGATAGTCAAGCTTGAAGTTAGTAATAAAAACATAGCTTTGGATGTGTTTCAATTAATCTGAAGTTATTGGAGAAAATTGACAAGAGGTCCAATGGCCATCTCTTAAGTATTTGAAAGGCTGCCATGGGGAAGAAGGGATTAGACCCATTCCTGTTTGTTGTTAGAGAGTCATGGCTGATTTAAGCCAAGTGTAATGAAATGTTGGCGTTTGGAGCTGTCTCCGGTGGCATCTTCAAGCAGAGGTTGGATACCCACTTATTGAGGTGACTAGTGGATTCCTTCTGAGATAGCTTTAAGATCTTACATTCTGTATTTTTATGAAAAGGGCAGAAGAACTAAAGGAAACCCGGCCTATGATCATTTTTTTTTTTTTAAGCTAAAAAGTTTTATTGACTTCCCCACTCGTTTGCTTTGCTTCCCCAATTAAACCCTTTGTTAACAAAGTGAAAAAAGTTAAGTAATCCAAACAGCGACCCTCTCAGCATCTACCTCTCTAGAGAGAGGAAAAGTATTTGATTATGTGCTCACCCTGTTCATTATCATTGGACTGCAAGCCTCTTGGAGTATTTTTGTTTCAGTTAATTCTAGTCATTTTTATTTTGTTCTTGGTTCTGTTTTCTTCATTGTGTATCAATTCAGAATAGTCCCTGTGTAAGTCCATACAGAACAGATAACAAATAAATTAAAAGTTGTTGTGGGGGGACATGGAGACAGAAGAAATCAGGCAAGGCATTTTATAGGAGGTAAGAGTCAGCTGCGTCTTTGTTTTTTTTTTTTTTTTTTTGGTTAGGTGACCTGCCAAGGGTCACACAGCTAGTAAGGAGTCAGCTGAGTCTTAAAGGGAGTTAGGGCTTCTAAAGAGGGGAGGGGGGTAAGTAAGGAGATCCATCTAGGAATGGGTCTGTGCTGGCTGACAGAGGCAAGAGGTGGTGGGTGACTTTGGTGGGGAATAGTGAGGAGGCCAGTTGACTGGAACATAGACTGTGTGGTGAGGAGTGAGGGGCAATTAGCCTGGAAATAGGAGTTCATGGAATTGTAGTTTTAAAGTTCGAAGGGACCTTGGACCATCCATTCCCATCCTCTCATTTTGCAGATGAAGAAACTGGACGCATAGATGAGCAAAATGACTTCCCAAGGGTTTAGACCTCAGGATTAGCTGGGATTCATATTCAGGTCTTCCACACCAGAGTTTCAAACTTACTGCAGAGTTTTGCTGAACCAGATTGAAATGCAAAATAAACCAAAATACCTTAAAATATAGTAGATGATGCTCATTTGTGATTTTCTGAGTCGGTCTGCAGCCCTGATCCTGTTCTTTCATTTTGACACACTGCTTTTGTAAACCAAAACCAGGCATCTTTCCACCACACTGTTTTCTAGTCTCTGATTCTGCTCACATCACTAGCCATCATTTGATAAACGTTTTCTCAGGTTTCCTTGCTTTCGTTATTCCTTATATCACAGTAATATTCTATTACATTAATATGCTGCCATAATTGAGTCAGCTAATCCCCAGTTGATGGGAGCCCACCTTGTTTCCAGGTCTTGGCAACAACAACAACAAAAAATGCTGCTATAAATATTTTGGGAGAGAATTAGCAAAATCCTGATACATGGGGACTCCAACATGGTACAGTGGAAAGAGCAATGGCCTCAGAATCAGTTGCGTTGGCATCCCCTCACCAGGATTTACTAATTGGGTAGATTACAGGCAGGCTAACTGTCAATTTCTTATGCTGTAAAATGAGGATAAGAATCCTATAGTACCTACCTCATGAAAGGGTCAAATGAGAAACACCACAAGCCTTTGAGCTTTGTTGAAATGGCTGCTACTCTCCTTTTGTGTCCATTAACTGTTTCTTCTTACTTGTACTATTTTGTGTCCATGTAATTACAGGGTTCAGATGACTGTTTGGTAAAAATTTGGGCTACTGATGACGGGCGGCTTGTCTCTACACTACGAGGGCATTCTGCCGAAATTTCTGACATGGCCGTCAACTATGAAAACACACTTCTTGCTGCTGGCAGCTGTGATAAAGTGATCAGGGTATGGTGTCTTCAAACCTGTGCACCAGTTGCTGTCTTTCAGGGGCATTCAGCTTCTATTACTTCCATACAGGTGAGCAAAAAGGAAGCAAAAATGCCCATCATCCCTGTGCTTGGCTTTGGGGAGGTGAAGGGTGGGATGCAGCCTGCGCACAAGGACAGGCACTGCTCAGCCGTTGCTTGTTGAAGAGGAAGGTAAAGGGAAGTAAATGCTGTGTTGTCAAAGAGGACGTTTTTTCTTTGACAAGGCTGACCCCCGAGTGTTTTCTGGGTGTTTTTCAACAATTAGGGAGGGCCAAAGGACTTAGTGCCTTGAGGAGTACAGAAAATCTTTTGAGGCTTGAAACAGGTTTTGCCTTGCTTCTTTGTGTAGAGGTCTTCGTGTTTGGTGAGTGAGATTTGTTCTGAGCTCTGTGGTGACATCGACATGTGACCACTAACTTGACCTTTTACACAAGCTTGGTCTAAGTTGGAATTTGACATCAAAGCTCCTAACAGCTTCATCTCCTTCTTGAAATGTTTGCCAGGGAAGGGCCTCTTCCAGGTGTGTTATCTGGACTCTCTCGGACACTCCCCAAGCAGCTTTTTGGCCAAACCATTGACTCAAGTCATACTTTTCTTCCCTTTGTGTTGTGAGCCAAAGAGCAGCATGAGCCTTCTGAAGTGAGCACATGGGCCACCATGCTCCGTCAGGACGTCCCAACTTGGTGCATCCTTTCATTCTTCTGCTGTTAATTTGAGCTCAACTAGTTATTTGTGGGACATCCCACCTATTCATGAGGAATTGAGCACATACTGGCTTTTATTGGCTTCTCTGGAGTTGGAAGGTTTTTATATTGAAATAAAAAGAATCTCTGCATTTTTAATTTGGAAGATGAATAGTTGCTTCCCTTTTCATTTCCCAATTGATGGGCACCTTCTTTTCTTTGCTTTTTCCCTTTTAATCCCCCCTTTCAGGATCAGAAAGTTTGTTTTGCATGTGGCTATTCATTCTTCAGTATTAAACTCCCTCTTAACCTCCCCATTCTCTAGCCCTGCTTATTTCACTGTTGAGTTTGATGTATTTCTACACCAAACTCTGTGTGTGTGTGTGTGTGTGTGTGTGTGTGTGTGTGTGTGTGTGTGTGTGTGTGTGTGTATTTAACCCTCCTTTGTCTGTTTCAGATAAATAACAGTCAGGTTTGTCTGATGTCCCTTCTCCCCACCCCTTCTCCATTTATGTACACTTTGCTTCTCACACACCCCAATTAGGAGAATTAGCAAGGTCTAGCTTCTTTTCCCTGTTCTCTACACCAGGGTTCCTTTGAAACTCCCTTCTCCTTTTTCTCTTAAAACTCTCACAACAGAAGCATTCTCCCTCCAGGTCCTTTGTCTCTCTTAACTCTGTCAGTACCCTTTGACAACATTAAGGTTCTGAAGGGACACACATTTCTTCTGTCTCCATTAGACTGGCGGCACTTCATCCTTAGAAAACTCCTTCCAGTTACTCAAATGAATATACCTTTATAGGTTTCTCCTAACTAATGTTTGACTTTCAAAGTTCCTACTCAACTTTGGTCTTTTCATCAGAAATGATAGGAAGTCATCTTTAAGGGTCCATTTTTTCCACCTGTAGGACTATATAGGTAGGGTAGGGTAAATTATTCCTGCTTGTAAGCTTGTATCTATTGCCCTTTGAAATATTGCATTCTGGAAACAGACCCTTGTAAGGCATAAACATCTTTGTTCCTGCTGGGAGGTTATAGATTTGTTTGTACTGGCACTGGCTTTGCTGGTGCCCTCTTTTCCTCTAGCTCATGGGCTTCTGTCTGACTTTTTCTACAGTTCTAGGGTCAGATGAGTCAGTTCTTACAGTTTTTCATTGGGTTTTGTGGTCATTATTAGATATGTTTGAAATTTTACATTTTTTCTAGAGTAGGTATGTTGAAGCTTGGTGGTTTGCCTCTGTTCTGCCATCCATCTTGGCTGGAGGTCTACTGACTTTAAAAATTTTTAGATTTTATGTGGAGTTTTGCATATACATTAACACAATATTACTGAATTCTTTTTGGTTTATTTTGTTGCAAGTGCAAAAATATATAATTTAAATTGACCCAAATTATGATCCTCTAAAGGGCAGCTATTACCTCCATTTACAGATGAGTAAATTGATACTTAGATAACAAAAATAATAAAATGGTCTTCAAGTCTTTTGTGGAACAAAAATGTTTTTTACTTTGTATGATTTACACTCAATGATTTTTTATTATCATGTGTAGTTTTTTTTTTTTGTTTTATTTATTTATTTTTTTTGGGAGGCATTTGGGGTTAAGTGACTTGCCCAGAGTCACACAGCTAGTGAATGTTATGTTTCTGAGGCTGGATTTGAACTCAGGTCCTCCTGACTCCAGAGCTGGTACTCTATCCACTGCACTACCCAGCTGCCCCCTAGAACAAAAATGTTTTAAATTTAACTTCTTGTTAAATTTCTTAACTGGTTTTCTTAACAGTTTTTCATAAGCAAGCTACTAATTGGTCAGAGTGTGAGAGCTAAGCTTTTTTTATTGATTTCTTTTTTTTTATTAATTTATTTTGATTTATCAACAATCACTTCCATATGCTTTTGAGTTTAAAATTTTTCTCCCCCTTCCTCCCCACCACCCTTCCGCAAGACGGTGCACAATCTGATATAGGCTATACATATACATTCCTATTAAACATATTTTCACATTAGTGATGTTGTAAGTAAAAATTAGAACCAATAAGAGGAACCACCAGAAAGAGGAAACAAAACTCATCAGAAGAGAAAAAAAATAGCAATTCAACTTCATAGTTATTTCTTGCATTTTCCATCAAAAGGCCTTTGGAGATGTCTTAGATCCTTGTATTGCTGAGAAGCGCTAAGTTTATCAATATTAGTCATCACACAACGTGGCTGTTATTGTGTACAATGTTGTCTAGGTTCTGCTCACTTCACTCAGCATCAGACCATACTAGTCTTTCCAGGTTTTTCTGAAGTCTGCCTGTTCATCATTTCTTATAGCACAGTAGCATTCCATTACATTCATATACCACAACTTGCTCAGCCATTCCCCAATTGATGGGCATCCTCTCAATTTCCAGTTCTTTGCCACCGCAAAAAGAGCTGCTATGAATATTTTTTGTACAACCATTTGTATGACCTCTTTGGGATGTAGCCCTAGAAGTGCTATTGCTGGGTCAAAGGGTATGCACATTTTTATAGGCGAGAGCTAAACTTTTAAAGTCTGTTAATTGAAATGAGTTGTTATTTAAAGGTTTGAAATAATGTAGGCCTGAAAATAATCATTTTGGTTTGCTTTCCTCCTTAGTTTTGCCCAGCAAGGAAAGGGACAACCCGTTACCTCACTTCAACTGGTGCTGATGGAACAATTTGCTTCTGGCAGTGGCACGTGAACACACTGAAATTCAAGTAAGCAAGAGTGGGCACGAGCAGCTTACTCAGAAAACAATAGACTTGCTAAAAACTTCCTCTGCGCTGAGAAATTCTTCAGCTGATGCCACACAGGGGAGATACATTTATTGGTTCGGTAGATTTGTGTCAGATTTTAGAATAAGCATCCTTATCCAGGTAACGTTAAAGACACTATTAGTTAAAATTTTCTGTGATGCCCAGAATTCACCTATTTGGAGTTAGGGCCCCATTGTAATCAAATTGTGAAGTAACACAGTAAATTGAGTGTAGTTCACTTAGATTGGCACACAGGGTAGAATGCTGGACTTGAGGCCAGTCAAGACCTGAGTTGGAATCCATCCTCAGACACTTACTAGTGACCCTGGGCAAGTCACTTAACTTTTATCGGCTTCATTTTCTTCATCTGTAAAATGGGCATGATAATAGCACCTACCTTCCAGGGTTGTGGTGAGGATTAAATGAGATGATAATTGGAAAGCTCTTTGTAACCCTTTAAGTGTTATGTAAACACAAGGCTTTTGTTGTTGTTGTTACTGTTAGAGGTAATAATGATGGATTATAAGCCTTGAAAAACATATTTAGAAATTTTAATGAGAATCCCCACTACCTTTCACTGATACATTATCTAGTACTAGTGTGCATTGAACTTATGCATATTGATGCCAGACATTGCATTTAGGGAATGATATCTTAAACTTGGATTTACTTCCATTCTGCAATGCAAGCCTTATGTCAGCCTTATATCAGTCTTCTATAAGGTGTGTTGAATTCCCCGTTTGGTGAGTAGTGTTTTTCTTTAAAATTTGTAGAGGATGATAACAACTAGTGCTTGTGTTTTTAGGGATCGCCCACTGAAATTTACTGAGAGGTCCAGACCTGGGGTTCAGATTTCTTGTTGTTCTTTCAGTTCTGGTATGTATGTAAAAATATTAAAGTTGACCTTTTTTCACCAAACAGTTAAAATGTTATGGAAAAATCTTCCATATATAGATTTTATTTTCCCCTTTGGTGATGTGGTAACAAAAAAAATGCTTCTTTTGACACTTTTTGAGGTTTGATGAATGGATGTCTGCCTAAACCAGGTGTGACAGACCTTTCGGGGCTCTAAGTGAAATGTGATGCCAGTTTATTTTTTTAAGGCTTGAGCACAATTGCCATGAAAGGCAGGGGAAGGACCAGGAAGTAACCTAAAGAGAATCCCCAGTCTTCATCTCTTACTCCTTTTCAGTCCCCTTCCTCCTTACCAAACTTACTATATAAGTGTAACTTCCTTTATGTTTGATCTCTTCCTCCCCACCTCCAAATTTCCGGTGGAGATGCTATTAAATATAGGAATAGTGTATAGGTTGGTGAATATAATATTTGGTCTGCCCTTGTCTGCCACGTTTACTGGATATCAAGATTATCTGTGTTTGTATTTATCCCCCTTTTAGACTGTAAGCCCCATGAGGGCAGGGACCTGCTCTTAACTAGCCAATGGAAACATTCCATCTGCCTTGCTGTGCCTTCACATATGCTCCCCCCCCCCCCCCCGGTGCCTTGGAATGTGCTTTTCACATGCTTAGCTTCCTTTAAAAGCTCCTATCAGATGCCACCTTTGATGGGGAATTTTTCCTGCCCTCTTCCCACCTCCCCTCACATCCCTGTTAGAATGCAAATTCCTAGAAGACAGCAACAGTTTTATTGTCTCTGTTATCATGTGCTCTGTACGCAGTAGGCATTTAATGTTTGTTGAATGAATGAGAAGTAACCAATCTTTTTGGTAGTCTACTGATTTGGATAACCACCATGTGATGTTGAGCATTGACTGACAATGATGTGAACATGGCAGGTAGTTTTGCTTTTCCATCTTGATGTTGGAGTCAGGAAGGCCTGAGTTCCAATGCCTTCTCAGTCATTATATTGATTGATTTATTAACATGGGCAAGTCACTTAACCCTTTTTAGCCTTAGTTTCCTCATCTGTAAAATGAAGATAATAGCACGTATTTCATAGAATTTTGAAGATCAAGTGAGATAATACATTTAAAGTGTTTTCAAAACCATAAAGTGCTATTTAAGGTTAATCATTATTGTTTTAATAGCAAACCATCTCTACCCACCTCCTTACCCCACCATTTTCCCCAGTTGCAGGGATCTATACACACACACGCACACACATTTATTCCCTGTGCATTAGACTCAAGATTTCCTCAGTGCTGCAATGAAAGTAGGAATTAGTATGTCTCAAACCTTCATGTCCTCAGTTATTTCAATTCGATTTAACAAATATTTATCACAATGCTTACTGCAAGGTACTGAGCTAAATGAAAAGTTTTGTTAGTAACCCCTGTCCTCAGGGAGTTTTCAGTGCAATATTCTAGATGGGCCATGTCACAAACACATAAATAAGTCTGATATAATCTGAGCAATTTGCTAAAAGTGCCCATTGTCTTCTCCTTCCAGCTGTACTGGTGGAAGACAAGTTGACATGTTGAGATGTAGATAGTAGAATGTGTAGCATCAAAAGGATGCTGCTTCAATTGGATTCCATATTAATTTATTTTTTTTTTGGATGAGAAATAGCTGCTTTAAGAGTTCTTTATTTTACTTTTTGTTATGATATTTTTATACATACAGAATTTGTGTATAGGCTGTTTCTTTTTTTCTTTTTAAAATTATCCTCTTGAGTGTTTTTCTTTTGGGACTTATGAAAGCCTTCATGTGTAAGTTTTCTTCTAGCCCTAATTTTTTTCTGCATCTTATAATTCTGAATGTCATGTGGTTTATTTGGAAGAAGGAAAACGAAGCATTTCATTTGGCCATAAGCCCCAAGAGAGCTGGGGACAATTGACATAAATGGCTTTCTGCACAACATCCAGCCCATTGCCACATGGAAACTGGAGCTGTGCTGCTGCCTAATGATAATGACGACATTATTGAGACATAATCATCCAAGATAAATTGAATCTCGGGGAAATTTGTTTACCTGGGTGGTGGGGCTTGTTCACTTATGATTGAAAATATCGCATGGCTATTCAGTGAACTTTAAGGTATTGTTAGTGTTACAAGCCCTAATGCCTACTTAACGAAAATTATTTTCCATTTTGGAGTCTTCCATGCAGTGGACAGTTATACAATAGAATTCACCTTATAATTAATTTCATGTATTGCTTTTACATAAATTTTAAGGAAATGAATTTCTTTTGTTTGTGGCTGCTTTTTAAAGTTCATGTCTGTTTTCAGTGTGCTTTTTGTATGTTTTGTTGAATAATTGATTTAGCTTTTTATACTGCTCTTGGGTTTTCAGTATTGTTTGGGTTTTTTAATTCTGTTTGGTTTTCTTTCATTAAAAATAGAATTTTTTTGGATGGTAAGGGGAGAATCTTATATGCCTTGCTAGCATTTTACTCATATGAGTATATAGCATACTATCCTGAAAGTTAATCTCAAAGATTTAAGTTCTTTTGGTCACCTTTCATTTTTCCCCCCCTCTAGGTGGCATGTTCATTGTTACAGGTAGCACTGACCATGTGATTAGAATATATTACTTGGGATCAGAGTCCCCTGAAAAAATTGCTGAGTTAGAGTCACATACGGTAAGAGTGAAATGAGAAATTTCAGTTTTCCTCCATGCAGTTAGTTTCATTTCTTTTTATGCCTGTATCCTGTTTAATATATGTCTGTGTTATTTAACTTAGAGAGCTTTTTTAAAAAGATTAAGGTTTTTTTTTTATTTACCTTGACAAGGTATCTTTGTGTAGTAATGAAGATAGATCAGTATACCATTTAGGCTTTAGTATGTCTGTAAATGTTAATGAGAAGTTCTCCTTCAAGCTACATTGGAAGAAATGAAAACATACGTGGCTGTTTCTTTGAAAAACCACATTGAAATTTTGTGAAAATTCTTTTTTTAATCGGATTTTTTTCTTTATGCTACTTGTTTCTTTGAAAAATCTACATGCTTAATAGAAGACATAATAATATTAAGTATGTCCTAGAAAAAGTTTCTTTGATGGAATTGAGTTTGTTGATCTTAGTATGATTGTTTTCAGAAATTCATCAAAGACTTAATGGAAAGTAATCCCACTTAGTTATCAATAACAGCCTTTCATATAGGGAACAGCTGCTTGCTTGGGGTGACGGCCGCTGGTGACTGGCACCTTTCTCTCTCTGGCTATCTTCAGTCCCCTGTGGCTTTTTCAGGAAATGTGGGGCCACTGTAGTACAGTTCTCCCCCTGTTCACCTTCCACACATCCCCTTCCCACAATCTAGATGCTTACTGGCTCTGGAACCTGGTGTGAGGGAATGCTGCACTTGCTTAAGAAGCCCCCTGTAACTCTGCATGCCAAAATGGTCAAGACAGAAACGAAAAGTACTCAGCGTTATATTTCTGTATGTTTTCATTTCCAATCAGTATTGAAGCCTCCTCGGGAATGGTATTTGTACATTGACAAAAAGTTTCTCTGAAACATTTGGGCACAGAATTTTATTCATGTTTCAGAAATTAGCTGCAATCTAGACTTCTGTCTATAACCTTTGCCCTTATGCCTTTGGGGATATTGACAGTTGCTGCTTTTCTTAGTTTAAGAACCTGTATTTAGACTGCTCTTGAATCACAATTGTGCCCTGTGTGTCTGCTAAGCAGATTCCTCTACTATCCCAAGTGGGGAGGGTTAGTTATTCATATTTGTGCTGGGGCAGGCTTAAAGATCCATTTTTTAACTACTGCCTATACTGGGATTGTTTGCAAGTTCATCAAGGGTGGAGAGTAAAGGATTGAAGGTGGGTAATACAGGAAAGACTTGGGAGAAAAGAAATGGAATTTGGAAGGGTGTAGAAGAATGGCATAAGCGTATTTTTATTAGTGGAGGAGCATAAAATAATGAAGAAAAGTCAGAAAAAGCAAACACTCCCTGATTAAAAAAAAATCCGTGGCTGTTAGACATTGTGAAGAAGGCTTGCCTTCAGAACATCTGAAACCAGCCATTGAAATTGGCAGTAGAAGGCCAGATCCTGTGCTAAAACATACCGTAAGGAAATCTGGAGGAGAATGAGTCAGGGATGCTTCTAAACATCACAGAAGCTGTGTTAGCTTTTAAAGCTGGGGGGAAAAATTAAAGCCATTAAGAGTTGAACAGTTTTATTAAAAATTAAGCATAAGCACAGCTGGGCAAATTTACTAGTTGTAAAAAGACATGTAGTTTTGAGGTGTCTTTTAGTTGCATTTTTTTTTTTAAAGTGACTGCAGTAGGCAGGAAAAAAAAAAAGGAAATTTTTTATTTAGACCTCAACTTAAATCAATCTTCCAGACACACACCTTTAAAAAATATTCTGATTAATCATTTTTTAAAATTATTTTTAAAAATTTTGTTGCTATCTTTTATTTTTAAATCACTTCCATTTTCCTCCCACTGCCCAGAGAGCAATCCCTTATGACAAAGAAGAAAAACAATGGAAAAGCTGCTTTATTAATTTTTGGCTAATTATTTTTTAAAAATACATTCAAATAGTGCCTGAAATGTAGTGCACACTAAATGTCAAACACTTCTGTTGCAGTATAATGAAACAAACTGGAGGGTGTGACTCATTTGCCTACTAAAATAGAACAAAAATTTATAGATTTTCATCTTAACAGTTACATTTAAGAATACAGTTATTTTGTGGAAGCATCTGAGCTTAGAATTCTGTCAGAAGAAAGGTGATGTGTAGAGAAAGTTCTCACCCTGAACTGCCCAGTTTACCTGGATTCTAGTTTACTGCTAAACAGAAAAAAAAAAAATCTTGTTTTATTTGAGCTGTCTTAGGTTGATGCCGATCATCATTTATTTTAATTATTAATTTGCCGATTCAGGAAATGAAATATTCCACTTTTAATTTTAGGAATCCAGAATGATTGAAGATTCCATTTATCAAAATTTCCTTCTCCGTTTTCCATATGAATATGAAAGGAGAAAGACCACACCTTGTATTTATTGCTAGAAAATTCAATTCTTTCTAATCAAAAATGTTTTGTTTTATATCTTAGGACAAAGTTGTTGCAGTTCAGTTTTGTAACAATGGGGACAGGTAAGTTTGTCGTCCAGATTTTAGTGTAATTTGGTGGAAGTTTGGCCTTTATCGTACATCTTTTTAGTGCAGAGAAGCCTTCTCTATTCTTTTCAGATCTGTTCGTCTTAGTAATTTACTGCCTTTCCTTCTCCCCAGTACAAACAAAATACCCACTGGATTCCCCTCCAGACTTTGTGTGATTGCCAGCCACAGAGAATACCCCATTCTCTGTCTCTGTGGCTGGCAATCAGGAAGGCATTTCTGTGCGTTCTGTCATTGGGCTCCTCTGGCCTCCTTATTTTTTTTCAGAATACTTTGGGCCTTCTTGACTTGCCCTACTTGCTCCTTTACATTTTCCCCTCATGTCCAGACTGCTCCTCCACATAGAGACTTAGAAAACCATAGATTCACGTTATCTACATTAGCTAGTATGTGTATTGATTTGAATCTGCTTCTGGTCCAGCCTGGAGTTTTGCTGGCCTCCTGGGGTGGGAAGTTTGACACCCGGGCTCTAGCCCTTCTTGTCTGCTCTACTCATTTGGCGTTTTGCTGTTTGCTTCCTTGTGCTCTAGTTTAACTTTTTAAATGTCTCTGTCCTGTCGCTTCAGCTGGAAGCTCCTTGAAGACACTGATTGTGGCGTGTGCCTCTTTGTGTCCTCTTCAGAACACTGATAATCAAATGGGAGGACGGATTCAGTGCATCCTTGCACATCTATCCCTTGTCCTAGGTGAAATGAGTGCCGGGATTGAAAAAAAAAATACCGTTAATTGACTTTGTGATTTTTTTTTTTTGAATCTATTGTTGAAGACATTTGTATTTATTCCTCATGTTATTTGATAACATCTTATTTTAAAAAGGGGATATTGCAGTGATTCATTTTTCAACTCCTATAAATACTTAATGAGGCTGGTTGCATGGTAAATATTCTTTGTTCTAATCTTGCCAGAATTCCAAACTGATATTCAGGGCTGATTTGGTCTACTGATCCAAGCCATTTAGATCAGCTATACATCCCTTCCTTCCATTAAAAATATATATTTTTTTCCATTTATATCTTTTGTTTTCCCATCATCTTCATTTTCCGTTATATTTCTCTTTTCCTTCCAGAGAGCCATCCTTGTAATAAAGAATAAAAACAAGGGAGAAAAAAGTTTAGCAAAACTAACCAACATTTTGAACAAGTGTGGCATGACGTGCAGTATTCCACACTCAGAGGCCCCTACCTTTGCAGAGGAATGGGCAAAGCTGCCTTCTCATAACTCTTCTTTGAGACCCAGCTTGGTCATTATCATTTCTAATCATTAAGCCTGTCCTCTTTCTTAAAGGGAAGGATGACACCTTTGCATTCACATTATTTAGTAATTATACTTAGAGAATTTATATTTATACTCTGAAAAATAGTAAATATATATCTTTATATCACTTTGCTGTTTAATGGATTCAGTTATGTTGTAAGTTAGTTCATATCCTTTGACACATAGTAAAATGTAGTGTGTCTATAAGATGGAGTATCTTGATCAGCTATGAGACTTGTAGTCTAAGGGCTGCATAGTATTTTATACATGTTAATATTTTCGTTAAAAAAAAAAAAGAACCAAGACATTTAAGGTCCAAAGCAGCACTATAAGTCTATGAAAGCATTGCTGGGTTCTCAGATAGAACACCTTGTACCATCATGTTTATTTGATGCGGGTATGTATGAGAAAGAAATATATATATATAAAAAAAAAACAACATGTTATGTGTAGTTACCAAATTACCGTCATGCTCAGTCAGTGTCAAAACATCTGATGTTTCATTTGGCTCTAGTGCATGCATTTCATTCCCTGAGTGGTTTTCTAAGGCTACAAACACTAACTTTTCCTAGAGTCTTTACCCCACTGATGGCTTTTCTATTAAGTTTGGGTTCACTGAAGTAATTTATTGTCCTTTAATTCTAAAAAATGGCAAGGCTTTTGTGAAGACAAAATACTTATTCTCTTCAAATTACTTTTTACATTTCTCATGAATTTTGTGAGAATTCACGTAGCCACCTTATGTGATAATTAGAGTATGTATTATCTCCATTGTATAAAGAAACTGAGCCTGAGAGGAAGACTCCATGAGTTCCCAAGGGCACTGATTCCACTTTTGAAAGAGGCAGGACTCACATTTGGCTCTCATGACCATATCATACCTTACTAGGAAACCTTACTCGGCATATTGAAAATGGTCTTTCACATCTAGACAAGCCATGCAGCTGCAGAGTAGGACTCTACTTTATTGGAGAATAACAAGAGACATTTATTTTTAATCTTGTTCTACAGTTTGAGATTTGTTAGTGGAAGTAGAGATGGAACCGCAAAAATCTGGCAATATCAGCAGCAGGAATGGAAAAATATGGTGCTTGACATGACGACTAAAGCACCAGGGTAAGACCAAAGTTTGGTTAGATTGATGTGGCATACTGTCATTGAAAATGGTTAGGGAGCTGTACCAGATCTCACACTGTATTATAAAGTGGTATTCCTCAAAACATTCTGGGGGCTAAGAAATAGCATAGTGGATCAGGGGAATAGATTAGGAACACAGTACACAGTAGTAAATGGCCATTGTAATCTAGTGTTTGAGAAACCCGTAGACCCAAGCTTTTGGAACAAGAGGTTGTTTAACAACAAAAACTGCGGGGAAAACTGGAAAACAGTATGGCAGAAACTAGATATAGACCAGCATCTTACAACATATACCAAGATAAGGTCAAAATGGGTAGATGATTTTAGACATAAAAGGTGATACCATAAATAAATGAGGAGAGCAGGCAATAGTTAACCTGTCAGATCTATGGATAAGGGAAGAATTTATGACCAGACAAAAGATAGAGAGCATTAATATGAATAGGCAGTTTTCAGACAAAGGAATCAAAGCTATCTGTAGTCATATAAAAAATGCTCTAAATCATTATAGAGAAGTGCAAATAACTCTTGAGACACCACCTCATATCTATCAGATTGGCTAATGTGACAGAAAAGGAAAATGACAAATTTGTAGGGGATGTGGGAAAATTCAGACACTAATGTACTGTTGGTGGAGTAGTGAACTGATCCAACCATTCTGGAGAGCAATTTGGAACTGTGCCCAAAGGGTTATAAAACTGTGCATATCCTTTGACCCAGCAATACCACTACTATCCTAAAGAGATTTTTAAAAAAGGGAAAAAGGACCTATTTGTATAAAAATATTTGTAGCAGCTCTTTTTGTGGTGGCTAAGAATTAGAAATTGAGGTCATACCTATCAATTGGGGAATGGCTGAACAAGTTGTGGTATAAGGTCATGGAATATTATTATGCTATAACAAACGAGCAGGATGCTTTCAGAAAAACCTGGAAAGACTTATTCGAATTGGTACAAAGTGAAGTGAGCAAAACCAGGAGAACATTGTACACAGTAACAACAACACTGTGCAGTGACCAACTGTGAATGACTTAGCTATTCTCTGCAATACAGTGATGTAAGAGAATTCCAAAGTACTCATAAAAGATGCTGTCCACATCCAGAGAAAGAACTGTGGAGTCTGAATACAGATTGAAGCATACTATTTTTCACTTTATTTTTTTCTTGGGTTTTTTTTTTTTTTTTTTGATCTGTCTTTCACAACATGACTAATATGGAAATGTGTTTTGCATGATTCACATGTATAACCTATATCAAATTGTTTACCATCAAAGGGAGGGGGAGAATGTGGAACTCAAAATTTTAAAAAGTGAATGTTAAAAAAAGAAAATGTTTAGGAAAATGAGTTAAATAAGTAACATCAAGAAATACTTTTTTAAAATTTTTTTTGAAGTTAAGTTGGAATGAGGTTGGAAATCATTTAAATTTGTTGTAGGTGGCACACAGCTTTTTTGGTTGAGTCAACATTCAGTCATCCAGTAATTCCTGTTTTGCTCTTGTCCATCAAACATACTTAAACAGTGGACCATAGCTAATTTATATTCAAGTTATATTCCATTGTGACACCTGTGTTCTTCCTTGATTATTCTTCCTAAGACTTTTCATTGCTTTTTTGGGGTCTACGCATTCATTTTCCATCTTGTTTTTCTGTGGTTTATTTTTGGTTGCTAGCTACCTTATAGTTGTCACTGTTGGATGTCATTGTACATTTAACTATTTGACAAGGTCGTTGTTCATCTGCTCCATATGTTAGTAGCCTCACTTGACTTACCACTTTCTCATTTAATGAGTCTGCTCTCTATTTCATCACCTGAGTCACCAATAGTAATATTTAATAATAACCTCTTTGGGACTATAATTCCCCCTTGATTGGCATTTCAGATGTGACCCCAAAGCCGGTTCTATACCGCCTAACCAAATTGTGCTATAATCACAAAGCTGTTGTGTGTTAGATAAAGTCAGAGATCTTACTAAATTTGAAAAGTACTATTTCTATTGCTAGCCCCCCTCCCTTTCATTTCTAATGCCTCACATTTTATGGAAGGAAATGAGATGGGATGGGACAGAATTTCTCATTCATACATGCTAGTAGCCAACATAGCTTTGTTTTGTGCTTTTCGAGGCATTTGAAAAAGGAAATAATGACTATGGTTATTAAATTGGCTTTTTAAGTTAGGGGCATACATTTTCCCATTTTCTGTAATTAGATATTCTCTAACCATGATGGGTTTTCAAAAAATATATAGCTTCCTAAATTCTGTCATGGTTTGTGAATTTAGATTTTCTTTTGGTAAGTTTGCAGCATTATGAATATTTTATCATTTTTACTTTCAGATTTCATGATAACATTTTATTTTGACATAAGACGTTTACCAGGAAACAAACACAACCCCTCCCCATGCATATGTGTGCACACACACGCACAAAGTACCTTCCTCTAAAACTTAGTTTATTAACAGAGAGGAAGAAGTCTTTAACTTTGATAGTATAGTATTAACATCGACCTTTGTATTTGAGTAGTGTTTATTTTCAGTGTTGACTTTATTTACATTGCTGTAATAATTTTTTTAATCTGTTTTCTTCACTCTATCATTTCATTAAATTCTTCCCATGTTCTGAATTCTTCATATTTGTCATCCATTTGCATTCATATACCACAACTTGGCCAGCTACTCATCCATTCTTATGTACATATTTTGTTATCAGAGATTGTGCCTGCTATGAACATTTATTTTATGGTCTTATGTGAATTCTCTGAATTTGAAAAGGGTATTAACCATTTATTAACTTATATCATTCTAAATTGTTTTCCTGAGCAGTTGAACAAATTCATAGCTCTACCAACATGGACTTAATTGTGTACATCTTCCTGGAGCCCCTCTATTATGAGGGTGCCCATTTTTTACCATCATTGCCAACTGTCTTAATTATTTTGTTCAGGCACATCCTAGCAAGTGAAGACAAAGTGACTAAGCTAAAGGTGACTATGGTGGCTTGGGACCGATATGATGCCACCATTATTACAGCAGTGAACAATTTCCTCTTAAAAGTATGGAATTCCAGCACAGGGCAGCTTCTTCATAATCTAACTGTGAGTATTATCCTTATGGAGTGGTTCACTATTCACGTGATCCAAGTATTGGTGGCATGTATAGAAAGAGCATTGCCATGAGTGGGAAGGATATATATGACTTCTTGTGCTCGCCTTGTTTCATTTTTGCAAAGTCTCAGAACTACCTTCACTGCTAGTTTTTGATATCCTAGGCAAATTGCTTTACCTCTCTGACCCAACCAAAGGGAGGTAATGCCTGAAAGTGGATCACACATTCTCTCAGGTTTGCTCCTCTTTATTTATGAATCCCTGAAAATCAGTAAAAGGATCGAAGATGTTGGTGTGCATCACAGTTTGACTGTGGCGCCCTTCCTTCACTCATTTTCTACCTGAAGTTAAGTAGTGCCTGCTAAGACTTTGATATCCAAGATTAAGAGAGCTCTTTTCTTCTCTTGTTCTAATTTAGGACATAAATTAGCCCCTGGGCTAATATACCAATTGAGATACTGCTCTGAGTGCTAAGTCAGAAACTTTAAAATGTTTGTAACTACTCAAGATATTCTGCATGATTGAGAGTAGGCTTGACCACAGGACTCTTTTGCACAGGTTTGGTGACTCTCAGGTTCGTGTGACGCTGCTTGACATCCGATCTTACTCTTGAGTTGGAGAGATCTTGAGCTTTGATTCTTAACTGCTTATTTCCAATAACTTTCACTTTGAATCAAAGAGTTTTGTAGTTGAAAGGCACCTTAGAGATGGTCTCTTTTCAACTCTATCTCTTTACAGACTTGGAAAGTAAGTCACGCAGAGCCAAAGGCTAGTTGGTGGCCAAGTCCAGAATGGAACCTGTGCCTCCAGGTTCCTGCTCCAGCCTGTACCACCCTCTTGGTCCCTGCATTAAATGGCCTTAGCTTTTTAGGATTCTAAGGAAGGGTTCAATTCTGGGATACGTTATGTATTTCCTACCTGCTTTTGAATATTTTGTTTAGTGAAGCTCTTTTACTAAACATCTCAAAGATGAGCTTAAGTAGCATGTCTTTTCCTTATTTGGTTTCTGTGGATTCTGCTAAAGAGCAGTTGTAATTTCTTTGAACTTAAGGTGCAGATTGGGGCACGTGGTCAGTGTGGGATTTTGTTTTGTTTGACTCTGTGTATTTGGTTTTTTGGGTTTTTTTTGTTTTTTTTTTTAGTGAGGCAGTTGGGGTTAAGTGACTTGCCCCAGAGTCAGACAGCTAGGAAGTATTATGTGTCTGAGGCCAGATTTGAACTCAGGTCCTTCTGACTCCAGGGCCGGTGCTCTATCCACTGTGCCACCTAGCTGCCCCTGACTCTTGTGTATTTGTTACAAGAGTTTCATTTTTCTTTTTCATTGTATATGTAATATTTTTAAATAAAATACTTAGCTTTTGTTTAATATCATCCTTCTTTCAGGTGTTAGTATGGCAAGGTCCAAGTGGCTGAGATGGGAGAAGGGAGGAGATGAGTAGAGGAGCCTGGCCATGGCAATAAGATGATGATACTAGAAGTCTAAGAAATTGTCATATTAAAATCAAAGTATTGATGAGTAGCAGCATTTTTCTTCCCCTGACTAAGAAATCTTGTACCTTTTATTCCAAAGCACCTGCAGAAATCTTCTTGTGTATAAATAACCCATTACCAAGAAACTTGTTTGCAAATACAAGTAATTGTTTCATTTTTGAAGTGAAAAAAATAAGGAAACTATACTCCCAAACTTGCACAATAGGGTTTACATTAAATTAGAATTTGATCTTGCAACTTAAGATATTTTGAAGTCCCTTTTGTCTGCTATGAAAGATTGCCCTTTCCTATTTTTTTACCTCCAGATAAATATTTTTTCTTTTTTCCCCAGTGTACTGTATTTTATTTATACTTTACACATTTATCATCTGTCCCTCCCTTGCCTCTCCCTCTTTGAACTGCTTTAAAAATTAATAAAAGTCTCATAACAAATATGCATAGTTCAGCAAAACAAATCCCTAAATTTGTCCATATCCACAAATGAATGTGTCATTCTATATTTTAAGTTCATCAACTTTCTGGGAGATGGTGGATGGCATATTTTAATCCTTCAGTTTTTAGTCCTCTGGCACCATGGTTTATGATTGTATTTATCAGAATTTCGCAGTCTCAAAAAGTAGTTTTCCCTTACAATGGAATTATTTTTTAAGTTATACTAGTTCTGCTGACTTTACTCTGCATCTGTTCAGAGATCTTCCCAGTTTCCTCTGAAACTTTCAGTTTCATCTTTTCTTGAGGTTTACATTCCATTGCATTTATGTACTATAATTTGGTTAGCCATCCTACAATAGTTGTGCTTCTCCTAGTTTTCAGGGTTTTTTTTGTTGGGTTTTTTTTTTCAGTTTTTTATTATTACAAAAAGAAGTGTCGTAAATATTTTTGTACACATGGATCCTTTTCCTTTTCTCTTTGCTCTCTTTGAGGTATGAGTCTGGTAATGGTATGGTCAGAGTTTATGGACAGTTGAGGCACTTGGTGAGCATAATTCCAAGTTGCTTTCCAGAATAGCTGGACTATTGCAACTCCACCAGTGGTGCGTTAGTGTGCCTATTTGCACGCAGCCCCTCCAATGCTTATTATAACATTTTCCCCTTTTTTCATCTTTACCATTTGTGATGAGTGTCTGGTAGAACTAATGAGTTGCTTTAGTATGCATTTCTCTAGTTAATTGTGATTTGAAATAATTTTTCATACGGTTGTTAATAGCTTGTATTTCTTCCTTTGAAAACTGCCTGTTCACATCTTTTGACTATTTCAGGTAGATAACTTTTTTTTACAAATGTTGACCATAGCTATGGTGTGTCATATAGGCAGAATTATAATATACTCAATGATATATTCAAATTCTTTTGTTAATTCATTTTATTACTATAATGCATTTCTAATAATTGCCCATTTGAAGACCTAGATATAACAAAGCCAAGATGCTTTTTCTGTATCAACTTAAGCGAAATGAGGTGTCTGTCTTGATGAGATGGCGTTGTACATCTCTTTACCACTAAGGTCCATGGTCTTTTTTTTGGAGGGAGGGGGGTCGGGGGAGCTGTAATAAAATGGTTTTGAAATTTCAAGAGTATTTCTGACTTAGATTTGGGGGAACTGGCTGAAGCAGGTAGAGGTGAAAGGTAAATGCTTTTATGGTAAGGCACAACTGACCTTTCCCCCTTTATTCTTCTCCCACTGGGTATGTGTGAAGCAGCACATTAGTAATTGTCCTAATTTGATCGCATTCTGGAGAAGCCAGTTCTATTGATTGTCATCATTAAAACAGGATTTGTTTTAACTAGAACAACAAAGAATTTTTTACTGAGGAACACGGACACCTGTGGAGACTTAAGTCTAGTTTTGTTATTTGGAATCTATCATTGTGATCCTCATTCAAAAGAGATGTTGATTGCCATGTTTACAGTCAGTATTTCCAGACCTGTTCACACAGAATCTTATATAATGGACTATTCTTTTGGTATTGACAGTGGTATTAGGTCATTTAGTATGGTGTAGTGGAAGGAACTTTGAATATACTTTGAATCAAAAGAGACCTGGATTCAATCCCCTCTCTGAAACTTACTGGACCTGGGGTCCAGCTATCAGTTCCCTACATACACTTGAGTAACCTTTTTTTGTAAAATAGGACTACACGTAATGTACATGGAGTACATTGCATCTACATGTAATAACTGCACTACAGGGTTATCTTAAGGAAGAACTGTGTGGACCTGAAAGTGTTATGGGAAAGTGCTCCATTCCTGTTATTGTACATAGTTGGCTAAAATAACATTATTGGGCTGCTGCAGATGTATAAACTCATGGTTAGAGCAGGGATTATGTAGCAATCTTCTCTAAAGAAGCTACTTGGGATGCCCTGCCCTTTTCCTTCGGGCAACCGGTGACAATGTTCCCTTGGGCCAGAAAGGGAATAGTAAAATAAATTGTAGTATCTAATGGATATGTTGTAGTGATATTCACTGAATTCAGTTTTCTGAGTTCTTGGTGAATACATGCTTTTGTGAAGTGTAGATGAAAGAAACTAAGGTTTTGTCTGTGTGGCCGTGGTCACTAAAAGACTTGTTGTTCAGTTTTCTGTGGCCCTGTGAACAACAAGGCTGGGCAACATCAGCTCCACTGTTCAAAGACTTCTCTTCATGAGCTGTGGCTGTTTGGATTGTCTGATTTCTTGACTTCCATTTGATATTCTTGGTTCTAAAGATACTCCTCAGAAATTGTTGGCATGTAAAAGGCCCCTGTACCTTTTACTTGTGCATAAATGTAAAATGAGTGCATGTGCATTGCTCACTTACAATTGTCAGTTTCACTGTGTATACTGAGATGAATCTCTTCCTGGGCCTTTGGTGGAGGACAGAAAGCAAATGGTGATGTTTCTCCTTAAACTCTGTTTGTACCCTAGGGACATGATGACGAAGTGTTCGTTTTGGAAGCACATCCATTTGACCAAAGGATCATGCTTTCTGCGGGTCATGATGGGAACATTTTTATTTGGGACCTTGACCGAGGAACCAAAATTCGAAATTACTTTAACATGGTAGGAGAAACTTGAGTTGCTTAAGATAAAATTTGGGTTTTAAATGTCATAAGTACTGATTTCTGTTATAATGAGTATAATAAAAAGGTTGTGGAAGATGACTTGGCAATAATAAAGTGTACTCATTTCCAGATGACTTAGGGGTGTTTTCAAGTAGATACAAAAATCGAAAAGCAATTAGTTGCTTTTTTATATGATTGTGAAGCTAATTTTTTTAAACTGCCTGTGGGGAAATAAGCATTTTATTCATTTTATATTTATATGTTTAATTATCTTTCTTAGATATAGTCTTTAAAATATTTTTTTTGAAGTACTAAGTCAAATATTTCTGTCTTTTCCTGAAAACGTATGCATGTTTGACGAGAAAAAAGAAGGGGTAAAAACAAAAATAATAACCAGCTGGCAACCCATGTACCATTTGGGATCCCAGCACCTTTGTGAGAAGAGGAAAAAACATTCCTATGCCCCTGTAGTGAATTTATTCGAGAGTGGGAGCAAGAGTTGCATAGGATGGGGCTGCTAAGGGATGGTTTTTGATCTCAGTCCTTGGAGGGATTTTTCAAGTCATTGAGACACATTGGAGTATAAATGAAAGATATGATACTTAGTAGGTACTCAATAAATGTTGACTGGGAAATTCATTTTGGTATTTTGTAATTTACTTAAGGGAAAAAAAACCAAAAACTTTTCCCCCAAGTAAACCAAGATGTTATTAACAAACTGTATAATACATGGGATGATTAGCATTATTTCCTTTTCAAAGGGAAACTTGAAATAAATCCGAGAGGAAATTGAGAATGATTATTCTTTCCTTGTGCCAATCAGTTGCACTTGGAAAAAAACTTTGGACATTACACTGCAAACCCGTTTTAAAGTGATCATTCCTTGTTCACTTGTCATGGCTTTGTGCTACATGAAATCAGTAGGGTTTTCAGAGCTTCTCTTCATAGCCATCTATTCATCTAAGCCTAAAGTGGAACTCTTTGAAACCCCAGATGGAATTCCTCTTCTGACACCAGACAAGCTTGCTTGTGATAAATAGCGTAGGTCTACTGATAATAACCAATTCACAGGAGGTTTGTATTTTCAATAAAATGTGGGAAATTTTTAAAACATTTCAGTTTAATAAAATACTTTATGACTTGAAAGATTGTTGGCTGTATCTAGAGTCAAGAAACCTGGGTGTGAAATCCAGCTGTGATACTTGCTAACAATGGGTGACCCCAGGCAAGTAACAACCCTGAGTTTCAGGGATTTTTATAGCAAAGACACTGGATTTAGAATTAGAATACCTGGCTTTGAATCTGGGCTCTGTTGTTTGCTGCCTATATCAAGTGGGGCCGCTTGAGTGGCTGAGCTCATCTTTAAAATGAGGTCTTTGTACTTAATGATGTTTAAGGTACTTTTCAGCTCTAAAATTGTATGGTTCTGTGATTCACCACTTACTTTACTTAGAACAATACCCAAATTGGTAGCTGTAGAGCATATTAGATTGCTGATGAATCTAAGACCATATTAACAAAGGGGTATTCAAAACTGACTTATAGCACTGTGGGACCTGGAGTCAGGAAGACCTGAGTTCAAATACAGCCTCAGGCACTTACTAGCTTTGTGACCCTGGGCAAGTCACTTAACCTTTGTTTTCTCAGTTTCCTCATCTGTAAAATAGGGATCATAATAGTACCTCCCTCCCTGGGTGGGTGTGATAATCAAATGAGATAATAGTTCTAATGCATTTAGCACCACTGCCTGGCACATAGTACGTGCCATATAAATGTTAGCTGCTGTTGTTGTTATCATTTTAAAATTCATTTCAGATTACTTTTCTTTGTTTCAGATTGAGGGCCAAGGCCATGGTGCTGTGTTTGATTGCAAGTTCTCACCAGATGGGCAGCATTTTGCCTGTACAGATTCTCATGGACATTTGCTGCTGTTTGGTTTTGGATGCAGTAGAGACTATGAAAAGGTTAGGGTTTTTTCTTCTCATATTGGTCCTGGGAATATTTTTGAGTTTACTTTATACTTTTTTTTTTTCAGGTGAGCCTTTTTGGATTCCAGATGGTAATTGTGAGTTGCATATAATATGCAGAATGAAGAAGTTGCCCCATGGAAATTAATACTAAACTGTAGGGACAACGTATTCATAAAAGTGTATTTAAGAATTCTCTTGCTGAGGTAACAAGAATCTGATGTGTCCTTGTCCCTGTACATAATAATAGTACTCTTTTGATTGAATTTTCTCTTTGGAGAAAATCAGCTGGTGACTTTGAAGGTATTCATTATTATTTCTTTTACCTATTAGTGAACCTGCTATTGAATCTGCTTGGGTTTGAATCCTGACTCTGCCACTTGAACAAGTTACTTCAACTCTGAGTAACCCAATTTCCCCATAGAAGGGAATTTCAGAGGTTGTATAGTCTAACCTCCTGCCCTATGCAGTAAACCCTTTTATAATTAATACTCCGCAATAGTTGGTTATCGAGGTTTTCTTTGAACACTTTTGAGTGTCTGGGAATTTAATACTTTGAGGCTATATAGTTCCATTGGTGGAAAGTTCTTCTTAATATATAGAAGCTTAATTTTGCCCCTCTCTAATTTGTATCCCTCTATCTGAATCATTCTGGATCAACAAGAAGGAAGCAGCCATTGTTTAGCTTGGTGGTGTCAAACTCCCACCCATAGAAACAGGGGGCCACTCCATGGTACAGTATTAACATTATCTTTGTTGTATCAGATTTTCATTTATTTTGTTAAATATTTCCCAATTACATTCTCATCTGGTTCTTCTGCACTCAGATTCTAGTGTTTGACACCCCTGGTCTAGTTCATGAAAGAGCAGTAGAAAAAACACTAGATAGGAAGTAAGACTGGGAATACAGGGACAGAAATGAAAACAGTACTGGCCTTCAGGGAGCTTAAATTCTACTGGGGTAAAAAAGGTGCATCTGCATAAGTAAATGCAAAAATATGTACAAAGGAAACAAGCATTTATATAGCATCTACTGTGTGCCAGACACTATGCTAAATGCTTTGCCAATACTATCTCATTTGTTGCTCGCACCAAACCTGAGAGGCAGGTGCTGTTATGATCTTCATTTTACAGAGGAGGAAAGTGAGGCAAACAAAGGTTCAGTGACTTGCCCAAGGTTCCACAGCTAGTATCTGAGGCTGGATTTGACCTGACTCCAGGCCCAGCACTCTGTACACCATTCCACCTAGCTGCTTTTAGAATCTCCTTACTGCTAACAGTTATATTCTAATGTTTGGTATGAAAAGGAAATATTTGAAGTGACCTCATCCTGTCTTTCCAAAGTAGCTTTAAAAGAAGATAACAAACTAACCTTAGTAATTTCAAACGATCAGAGTTTTAGTAAGTAGTCTTCATTTTCCTCTCACTTTGTATTTGAATTTGAAATTTGTGAATTTGAAAATGTGTTCCTCTTTACTTAATTAGTGGAACATTTTTTCCAATATGAGTTCATCACATTTGTTCATTTTAGGCCTTCGTTTTGTTACTTTTTTTTTTTTTTTTTTTGGCTCGGCGATGGGGTTAAGTGACTTGCCCAGGGTCACACAGCTAATAAGTGTTATGTGTCTGCGGTCACATTTGAACTCAGGTCCTTCTGAATCCAGGGCCAGTGCTCTATCCACTGCGCCACCTAGCTGCCCCTCTACTTTTTTTTTTTTCCCAACCATATATTTTAAAAAGCACTGCAAATATGGGTCTGCATTATTACATTACATGCAATATTATATATGTAATATTACATGTTACATTCTATATTTCTAGTTTTTGTTATCTATTCCATAGTTTTGATTAATCACAAAGTAATTGGGGGGAGGGGTTGGGTGCTAATGAGCAGGGGGGACCTGATAAGGCTTTGTATAGGAATGTCAGTAGAGTTGAACTAGGGAGCTAGGAATTCCAAGATGGGGAGATGAGGAGGAAGAACATTGTAAACTTGAGGAATGCTAGCATGTGTGAAGGCACAGAGGGTAGTTATTGAAAGATTGCTTATGTGAAATTACTCTGGAAATCAAAGATAGGGGAATCGGTTTTTGACGTGCTTTAAATGCCCAAGGAGTTAGTTTCTCTTTTATCCTTCTGGCACTAGGGAGCCACAGAGCACAAAAAGCCACAAGCTTTTTAAGCAGGAAAGTGACCCGATCAGGCCTGTGCATTAGGAATATCCATTTGACAACTGTATGGATGATAGTTTCCCAAAGGGAAAAACTAGAGACAGAGACGCTGATTGAGAAGCAAGAGGTAATTAGAGTCTAAACTACGATGGTGGCTACCTGAGTAGAAAGAAAGGAACAGATCAGAGAGATTTTTTTGAGTTTGACAAGTTCAAAAAGATTTGACAACTGTTTGGATATAAGGAGTGAATCTAAGGCAGGGGTGGGGAACCTGTGGCCTCTAGGCCCCAAGCGTGGCCCTTTGACTGATTCCAAACTTCACAGAACAACGAAGCTGAAGGTTCCCCACACTTGCTCTCAAGGAAGGCTTGAGATAATTCTGAGGTTATGTATTGAAGTGATTGGAAACACAGTGATGCCCTTGAGAGAATTTACAAATTAAGAAGTTGTTGGCGGCTGGGGGTTAAATATTAGGCCAGAAGCAAGATTGAAAGGGGTTGTAGAAATTCAGGAAGTGGAGGCATTGAGTTGTCAGCTTTTTGTAGAAGTTTGTCTTTGGTCGTTTGAGGATGGCGGGCTGAGGGGAAGGTCACAACCTCTCATCTCGCTTTCTTCATCTGTGACATGAGGGGACGAAGTTGTACTTGATCTCGAAAGTCCCTTCCAGCTCCAAATCCTGTGATCTTGTGAGTGAAGGACCATTGTTTACTCAAGGTTACAACCCTACAAATGTCTGAAAAGAACAAGCTGTCCTAGCGTCTCCCTCTGTTCCCCCTGGCCTTCATTCTTCTCTTCTTTGGCTAAAGATCCTTCATCCCTAGTGTCTTGCAAATTCCCTCTCTTTCTGGATTGCTCTCTGATTTGTGTCCCCTATTTTAAAGTATGGCCCCAGAAATTGGATGTATTACTACAGATTTCACATGATAAAATGTTAATTATATGTTCCTCTTTGCACATGTAAAGAGTTTTAGATAAATCTACTCCCTAGGTTTGTGGAAAATAAGTACTCAGAGATAGTTACACTCAGAATCAGGAAGGTATGTTGAGGTATACCTTGTTTTAAAAATTAATATTTTTTTGTTTTAAAGTTTTTTTTAAATATTAATATTAACATACTTTATTTTACTGAGACTTATCACTCTATTACAGCATCATTGGTAGAGTTCGTTTCTTATGAAGTGTTTGAATATAGAAAAAAGTAAACATGTAAAATCATAGAATAATCTTATTACTCAGTGTAGTTTTATTTTATCTCTCAAAGGATTTGGGAAACAAGTGGTGAAATTAAGGGCTTCGGCATGATCCCAAAACCTCTGGGAAATTTTCATGATCTCCTCCTCCTTCTGTCAGTGGTCTTGGCCTAGCCTTTCCATTAGCCCAGTTTCCCAGCGTTGCTGTTCTCCACCATTCCTCCCTTGCCTTGCACAACCAGTCAATTGCCAACTCTTGTCATTTCTCAGAGCTGTCCCCCTCTATCAGCTTACATAGCCAGCACCTTAATCCAGGTAATCCTCTGCCTGCATTCTCAACGGTAGTCTCTAATTGGTTTCCTGGCCTCATATATCCAGCCTCCTCCATACATCTGTTAAAGTGATTTTCCTAAAGTGCAAGTGTGACTTCCTACCCAGTAAACTCCCGTATGGCTTCTTTCTTCTAGAATCAAATTTGAGTTCCTTTGTTTCTCTTAAGGCTCTTTTCACTCTGGTTTCAACAAACTACCTTTCTAACCTTATTGGACGTTCAGTGCTCTCCTTCCTGTACTTCCCAATGTAGCCAAAATAGTGCTCTTGCTGTTTCTCATCCATAACAATCCATATTTGCGCCCGGTGTCTTGTAGGCCTGGAATGTACTTGCATTTCACTTCTGCCTCTTAGAATCTCACGTTTACTTGAAAGCCCTGCTCAGGTGGCATGTTTTCCATGAAGTCTCTCCTAGCCCTCTTACCCCCCAAACCTTTTTAGTTCCCCTTTCCCCCCTCTCCTGTTTCCTTTTTGTTTATTTGCTTCTTGTCTCTCACAAGAGGATGTGAGCTCCTTGAAGGCAAGGATTGTTTGCTTTTTGTCTTTATATCAGTGCTTAGTACAGTACCTTTTTATACATAATAGGCACTTAAATACTTGATTGATTGGCCAGGGCAGAGGTGGGGAACCTGCCACCTTGAGGCCATATGTGGCCCTGTAGGTCCTCTGGTGAGGGCTTTTGATTGAGTCCAAGTGTTATAGAACAAATCCTTTTATTAAGGAGATTTGTTTTGTGAAGTTTGGATTCAGTCAAAGGGCTGCACTCATTCGGTGAGGACCTCGAGGGCCGCAGGTTCCCCAGCCCTGGGCCAGGAGTTTACAGGTGCTGAAAATGGAAAAGATGCTTAGTTTGGAGTACATAAGAGTTCCTGCAGTGAGCTAAAGTGCTGATTGATAATGTATTGATATGCTAATCACTCAACAATCTCTTCTCCAGGTTCCAGATCAGATGTTCTTCCATACGGATTATCGACCCCTCATTCGAGACGGTAACAACTACGTACTGGATGAACAGACTCAGCAAGCCCCTCATTTGATGCCACCCCCATTTTTGGTGGATATGGATGGCAACCCTCATCCTACGGAATTCCAAAGGCTGGTACCAGGACGGGAACATTGTAAGGATCAATACCTTATACCACAACTGGGATACGTTGCTAATGGTATGTTAGCTCCTAAATTGTATTCGAAATCCGTTATCTTACTAACATGTTCAAAAGTAACGAACTTCTGCCAGTATTAATGGCGTTGAGTTGTTACTGATCTCACTGTGATGCATTATTGGCATGCTTTACCTTGCCAGAGGAACCTGATATGTGGGAGTGGGGGCATCAGCACAGACTTTCCCAAGGTAGGGCAAACATATTGGCTTTCTTGCTTAAGAACCTTGACCATAGACTTCTGCTGTCGCCTGCAGCATTTACATCCAAATATGGTTCAAAATGTTGGCTCTGATCAGCAAAACTCTTGTATCATTTTATGGGCTGTATCTTTCCATTCATCAGACTTCATGACTTAATAATAAAAGAAATAGCTAGCATTTATATAGCACTTTAAAGTTTGCAAAGATTATCTCATTTGATCTTCACAACAACTCTGGGAGGTAGGTGCTATTATCCTCATTTTATAGATGAGGAAACTGAGGCAGGCAGTGATTAAGTAACTTTTCCCAGAGTCACATAGTTAGGAAGTGTCTGAGGCTACATATGAACTTGGGTCATCCCGACTCCAGGTTCAGCGCTCTATCCACTGCACTACCTGGTTGGAAATTTCAGTTTTCTGGATCTGAAAGTTGTAAGTAGAGAAAAGGAATTCCTAATCCACAATCCAGAAATGGCTATTTGTCCTTTGAAGCTTGGACTGAAAATGGTGTTGAAGGGTTTCTGTAGTTTTCAAGGTGGGAGAGGGAGCTGTTTGTTGGACTCTGTAGCTCCATATCAAAACAAATCAGCCCCCTTCCCCCATATCCCATCATCACATATCTGAGAGGGAAAGGAAGCTCCCAGCACTTACTATTTCTACATCTTAGTTTTAGGTATTTCCTAAAAGTAGAATTTCTTTACTATTTATTGTTCTTCTCTAGTGTTCAGTATGAAAAGGAAATACTCGAAAGAACCTAATCATGTCTTTCAAAAGTAGTCATAAAATAAATACAAAATAATCTTAATAATTTCAAATGATCAGAGTTTTCTTAAGTAGAGTCTTCATTTTCCCTTTACTCTGTCATTTGCTTATAAAAATAAATTTTCAGGTATATTCCTCTTTACTCAATCAATGGAACATTCTTTGGGATGAGAGAAATCAAGATAATGTATCATGTTTGTTTGTTAAGTTTTCTAATTTGTTGCATTTTTCAGTGGTAGATTTTTAAAAATCACTACAAATGTGGATTTGCCTTATTACATTTTGTGTGTACTATGTTGCTAGTTTTCATTAAGTAATTCACAGTTTTGATTAATCACCTAAAGAGGACTTTACACATGGTAGCTTGAACTGAGGTTTTTTCTAAAATTGTATTAATGTTTTCTTTAAGATGATGTCTAGAGTGTAAACAGCTCCTTGAGAGCAGAGTGTTTGAGGTTCTTGTCCTTGAGCACTTTATGTCTAACACTGTGCCTGTATCATTTTAGTGGCTTAAAAAATACTTGTTGAATGCTTATTTTGATGATGTCAGTTGTGAGATTATTTTTTTATTTTTTTGTCTAATTAAGGTGACGACGAAGTGATGGAACAGGTGATTGGTCAACAAACCATTGATCAAGATGATCTTGATGGAATGATCGGGGAAATGCAGGGGGGGCAGGATCTTAGACTGTTTGATGAAGAAGGAAGTTCATTTATTCATATTAATAGACCATATTCTCTTAGTGGAGGTATGTATCTGTAGTTATCATGTTGAATTTTTATATTTTTTGCCATTTCATTTGCCTATACAGGGTTAATTGTGATGGAGGGCATTTGTAAATTTTTAATTATTTCTAAATTTTTACTGTGTTTGAAGCTATTTTGAAATTACATGGTAGCGCCATAGTTTTAGCCTTTTTGAACATGTGGACAAGAAAAATTAGCATACCTTTAGATCCCCTATTAGATTGTAAGCTCCACAAGACCAGGGACTGCCTTTCTTTTTTCCATTTGTATGCCTAGCATTTAGCAGAGTGCCTGGCACATAAGAGTCACTTAATAAATGTTTACTGACTAAAAAAACGGCGTGAAAATGTTGGCCTTTTAAGGCGGCATCAGCAGGATTCTATTACAGTCTTTACTGTTTGAAAAATTGTCCTCAACCTTAATCTGTAGGACCTTAAAAACCTACATTTCATGTGTATCTTCTTTCTTGTTTTAAGGTGCCTTTTTTTGACTTTCATATTTAAAACCACGTTTATAAAAGTTGCACATTGAAAAGCATATGATATACTTTTTAGGATATATAGAGTCAACTGCTGAATTAATTTTTATTCACTCCTTTATAGTGGTTGAAAGTGACAGTTGCTCTAATGTAGTTGTTATGCATTATATTTTTTCCCTAAAATACGTGAAAAGTATTTGTGGCATAAGTGTCATGTTCATGTCAGTACTTCCATACATTCAATGTCAGGAATAAGTATCAAAGTATAATTTTTGAAAAGTTGTGCTTCTTGTCAATGGAAATGTTGGAAGGATTAATTTTTCGCTGTACTGACCTAATGCGGATGTCTCATTTAGGTTAATCTAGGTTTCTTGTGGCTAGATAACAAATATCATTTAGGTTGAGATGCTTCATATTGTATTAGGCCCATGTGTTGATGTGGGCAGGGGAAGTATGCACACGGGTTTTTTGGTTTTGGTTTTGGTTTTTTTGCAAGGCAGTTGGGGTTAAGTGATTTGCCCAGGATCACACAGCTAGTAAGTGTCAAGTGTGTGAGGCTGGATTTGAACCCAGGTCCTTCTGACTCCAGGACATTTGGAACTGTAAACCCAAATATATTTTCTGAATCTGGATCAAGCTGAGTAGTAGATGCTAAAATTATGTATAAGATCCTTAATTCCCAACTTATAAAATTTGGATTAGATCCTTGATTTAGTACCCCATTAATATTTTTTAATATTCTTATTTAGGAAACATTCTTTATTGTGTAGTTGAATGTTAGTAAAAGTTATCCAAGGCCAATGATCTCTGCCATCAGATAGTTTGTTTTGTCTAACTAGAAGTCATAGAGGAGTGCCTGATGACTCGTTGAAACTTGGAATCATAGATTTAGAGAGGATAGAGACCTTTAAAGTCAACTAGTCTGGTCCCTTTATTTTACAGGTAGAGAAACTGAGACCCACATGGGTCTCGTCAACAACTGACTTGCCCCAAGGTCACACAGGTAGTAAGTAGCAGAGCTGGAGTTTGCATCTAGCTCGTCTGATTCAAAATCCAGCATACTTTTCCATGGTACCATACTACCTTCCCTGCGTTAGAGCTTCCAAGAGCTGTTTATCCAGTGAAAAAACTGAAGGGTCAGTGCCCTAAATAATATGTAACTGCAGTCAGTCCAACTTTTTTAGGAGCAGAGCTTTCCACTTGCCTAGGCTATAATAGGGTGTATGCCCATTACCTAAGAAGATGTAGGGAATCTAATTCCTTGTTGGCACTTTTTATTCATCTTCATACTGTTGCTTATGCATTAGTCTCTTTTCTTTTCTCCATTCTTACGCATGGACAGATATCCATATCATCTTTCACACCATCTTAGAAGCCTCCATTTCGTTTTCAGCTCTCTTCTAAAAGTTGGGAACTTTTTAGGGAGAGTGTCATCTTTGCCTGTTTTTCAGCTCTGAGAAGCCCAAATGTAGACTTTGCCTCTTCCTCAGATATTGGATTCCAGCCCGGTGAAATACATAGTTCTTCTCGAAGTCCCATGGCCACTCAGAGGGATTTCATGTCGTGGAGCCGAAGAGTAGTGGTCAGTGAATTAAATCCTGTTGTTAGTCGGTAAGTTAGCAGTTGGGATCATCTCATGCTTTGCATTTGAGTTCACTTTTTTTTAGGTTAAGTATCAGTCCCACATTACATTGTCACATGAGGTGATTCTTATTCTATATTCTATTAACATTTCATTAGGCATTACTATTTAATATTTATTTACATACCATTCTACTTCATTGTTCTTTGAGCAAATATTTTGCTGGAAAGTGAAGTCTAGGTACATGCCAAGTCTAGCACAAGAAACAATCTACAGATAATCACCAGATGTCATTATGGCCAATTCTTCACCGTACCTTTTGATAATAGGTTTCTTTGATAGAGGTATTGATTGCAGGTAGGTTGGCCACAAGCACTATTACATGTCTATGTGGAAGAGGGGGCATGGAGAGATAAGGAATCAAGGCATAGGTGATTAATAATTTGAATCCCTGACCATGTGAGTAGAGCAATAATTTTCACCTTTACTTTATTCCGTCTCTTAGTCCCTTAGTCCTTCCCTGGATCAGGTTTACATACCACTGGCATGTCCTGATTTGTCTCACACAACCCTAATGTAACCTCTGAAAGTCATGTGCAACATTCTCCATTCAGAGTCCAGTGCTTCTCTATTGAGATGAGAGAAAGTGTGTTTCCTCCTCTCTCCTTGGGGACCAAGAATTGTGATGGCATTTTATCTGAGTTCAGCTTCTTTTTATTAATAACATTATTATCAGTTACTAAGCATTCATTAAGTACTTACTCTACGTTAGACATAGTACTAAGCCCCGAGGAAACAAAGAAAAGAAAAAACATGTTCCCTGCCCTCAAGGAGGTGAGAAAACATGGCAACAGCAGTATATACAAAATGTGTACAGAGTTAAGTGGATGATATATACTGAGGAAAAAAGGAAGTGATCTCGCTGGGTAGGCACTAGCAATGTAAGGGACAAGGAAGGTCTCATGCAAAAGGTGAGATAAGGAAGCCAGAAGTCAGAGATGAGGAAGGAGAGCCAGTGAAAAGGCCCAGAATTGGGAAGTAGAATATTTTGTGTCTTTGAATTGTAGAGTTAATGTAATGCAGTAGGTAATTGGGAGCTAGTGGAGGGTTTTTTTTTTTTTTTTCCATTGGGAGCGGGTGGTGGTGATATTGTCAGACTTGCACTTTAGGAGGAATACTTAGGCCACTGGAGTGAGAAGGGACTAGAGGCAGGGAGACCAATCAGAAGGCTGTCGCAGCAGTCTCGACCTGAGGGGATGAGGGCATTAGGGCAGTGGCTATGTGAGTAGAGTGAAAGGAGAGATTGTGAAGGTAGAAACAGCAAGACTTGATGCCAATTAGGATACGTGGGGTAAATGTAAATGAGGAGATGAGGATGACAGCGAGGCTGTGAGTGTGGATCACTGGGAAGATGAGGGTCCCCTTGATAGTACTAGGGAAGTTGCAAAGAGGAAGGTTTTGAGGGGAAAGATGAGTTCTGTTTTTGGAGATGGCTGTGTGTAAAGATCTCCAGTAGGCAGCTGGTGATGGGAGACCAGAGGTGAGGAGAGAGATTTGGGCTGGAAAAAGAGAGATCTGTACCGAGATGATAATGGAACCCTGGTTGCTAATGAGATCACTGAACAAGATAGTATTAGAGGGAAAAGAGCCTTGTTTAAAAACAAGACAACAGGGTTATTGGGTGTGACTGAAAGATCCTACAATAGAGACCTGGAAGGAGTGGTCAGATAGATTGGAGGGGAACCAGGAGATAGCCTCCTAACAGAAACAGAAGAGACATACCCAGGAGAAAAGGATGATGTTCCAGGGCTGCAGAGAGGTCAAGAAGAATGAGGATTGGGGGAAAGACCATTTAGATTTGGTAACGAAAGTCTAAACATCAAAGAGATCAAAGAAAAAGGAATGTGTTTTACATGACTTTATATGTATAATGGATATTCTTGCCATCTCCAGTAGGGGAGGAGGTTGGAGGGAGAAAGAGAATTTGGAACTGAAAATAAAATAAAATTGAAAAAACAATAGTAACTAAGACATCATTGGCAACTTTAGAGAGAACTGTTTTCGTTGAAAAATAATATTGGAAACCACATTATGGAGGGTTGAGAATGCAGTGAGAAGACAGGAAGTAGAGGTACCTGTTGGAGACGGGTTCCTTAAAGAGCTTATGTGAGAAAGGGAAGAGAAATCAAGAACAAGAACTAACAGAGATGGTTGGATCAAGTGAGGGTTTTTAAAGAAGGTCAGAGGGGCAGCTTGGTGGTACAATGGTTAGAGCACCAGCCCTGGAGTCAGGAGGACCTGAGTTCAAATCCAGCCTCAGACACTTCCTAGCTAGCTCTGTGACCCTGGGCAAGTCACTTAACTCCCATTGCCTCCAACATTTAAAAAAAAAAAAAAGTTTGGAGACACTAGCATGTTTGCAGACAGCAAGGAAGAAGCCAGTGGATTGGAAGATACTGAAGCTTAGTGAGAGATTGGGAAAAAGAGAGGGGGACAGTATCATGAAAATGACAACAAGAAGCATTTCTGAAGTTTCTACTTTGTGCCGGGCTTAGTACTAAGTGCTAGAGATACAAATTAAGAGAAGAAAAGTCCCTGCCTTCAAGGAGTTTACATTCTCATGAAGGGATACATGCAAACATCTCTGTCCAAACAAGATATATACAGGCTGGATGCAGGGAATCCCCGAGAGCAAGCCCTAACATGAAGAATTTTGCAAAAAACTTCTTTTAGAAGGTGAGATTTCAGCTGAGGCCTGAAGGAAGTGAAACCCAGGGGAAAGTAAAGAATTGGGAGATGGAATGTCTTGTTCAAGAAACAACGGGGAGTCCAGCGTCACTGGCTTGTGGGAGTATGTAGAATAGAGTAAGTTGTAAGAAGACTGGAAAGGTAGGATGAGGCCAGGTCATGAAGGGCTTTAAAAGCCACGCAGAAAATTTTATATTTGATCCTTGGGGCAACAGGGAGCCGAGCCGCTGGAGTTTATTGGGGAGTGACTTTGCAAAAGTCACTTTCATGGCTGAGTGGAGGGTGGAATTAGAGTAAGGAGAGACCCGAGGCAGGGGACTAACCAGAAGGCTGTTGTAATAGTTAATTTTAGGTGATGAGGGCTTGTGATGGCAATGTCAGAGGAGAGTGGGGACATATATGAAAGATGATGCTGAAGTCGAATTAAAGGCTTTGGCAAGAGGTTGGATTTAGCGGGTGACAGAGAGTAAGGAGTGAAAGGTGACACCTACATTGTGATCCTAGGAGACCTTTAACAAGGCCAGGGAAGTTGGGAAAAAGGGATGGAATGAGATCAAGGGTGTGTGTAAAGGGGTTACCTTGGCAAGGATAAGGGCTGGTTCTTCATGGGAGACAGGAGCAAATCCCCCATGAGATAGCATGGGATAATATCTGAGAGAGCTCAGATGAGGAGGGGAGAAGAGAGAGCTCTTGGAAAATGAACTCCTTTCTTTCAGGGCAGTATGAAGCACGATCCTCAGCTAGGGGGTAGAGGGAGGGCCTGGGATATTTGGGCAAGAATAATAATAGCTAATAGTGACTTGGAATAGCCACTGTGGTGAGTGGGATAGTGAATCAATTAGGAAGGTGTGAAAGGATTGCATCGCTTTCCTGAGGACTTAGTTGAGATTATGTAACATCAGTTTGTAATGGACCCAGTCAGAACAGTCTTTTGATTATCTGTAACTCCAGCAGCACATAAATTAGAGGAAGGTAACAGAAGGTAGGAGCAGTCCAAGGTTTGAGTTGGGCAACACCTGATTGGTGATAGGCTGCGGGGGCAGGTGCCAGGCTGGTTCACCAAGGGATCGAGATAAGGAAGCAAGAGTGTTGGCTAGTGCAGGGGTAATGGCCTGAGAAAGTCTGAAAGCCAACATCCTTAGGGGTCGTAAGGAACAAGGAACGATGAGATGATGAAAGATTATGATCTGATAAATAAGGGAATTTTGGAATTTGTGAACATGCAAGAAGAATATTTGTGGGTAATGGCATGATCTAAGGGTGTGACCATCTCTGGAGCTGAGGTAGAGCAGAGAGAGGAGTAGATCATGAGAATAGAGACTGAGGAACCTTGAAGTTAGAGGTTTCTGAAGAACTTTCAGTGTGAATGTTGAAGTCCCCCGGAAGGAGTTAGGTGGGGAGAAAGACTGTGAGCTAAATATTGCATCCATTGAGGAAGGAAAGAATGTCTTGTGGCTTGGTAGATGACGGCTATCAGAATCGTGATTGGGTGGCAAATTTTAATTGAATGAACCTCAGAGGAAGAGAAGTTTGTGAGAGGTGTAGGAGAATCTGGAAATGGAGCACAGAATATTCTGCCTTCGTCACCAAGACCAGTGGGTGATTAAGTCAGTAAGTGAGAGTGTAACCATTCCTGGAAAGGATTGCTAGGCATGCCATGTCATGACAAGGACATTTCTAAGAGCCAGAAAATGGAAGGAGCAAAAAAGGGAAAGGTTTAAGATGAAAGAAGTTTTGTTGACTATGGAGCGAGCATTCTAAAAAGCACAGTGGAAGGGCCAGGCATATGTGGAGTGGGACATTTGGGTTGAGGAGAATTGGGAAGAAGCCAGTGAAGCAGTAGGGTTCCAAATCACTGAGATGGGAAGGATGTGAGTATGGTGAGAATGTGCTGTTCATTGAGGAATGAGGCCAGACAGAGCATCCCGAGCCGGAGAGCTGTCCATTGAAGATGGCTTACCTCATGGGATCAGGTGATCTTAAGTCCTTGCCTCATGGAAGGCAACAGGAGTAGTTAGAGTTACAGCCTGAGGGAGTTTGGACAGGAGGCAGGAGTGGAGTAATTCTGCATGGATCTGATCTGAGAAAGGCCTCTTGAGCCCTGGTTTAGGCTCAGGAAACCAGGGGCTTAGATCTGGGCTAATATTGGGTTCCTTGGGAAGTCTCAGTAGTGAAGACACCATAGACCTATAGCCTGGTTCCACCACTATCCTAGTACTTCCTAGGAAGTCTCTAAAGCAAAGATACCACAGGCTGGGCCCATGTGATTTTGAAGTTATTCCTTCCACTGTAGCTCTTATTTACTGATGGAGTTCTTACTTGAGAAGCAGGTATTCACCATTGATGTTGTTCTTGGCACATAGTAGTTTCTTGTTTACTTGCTGAGTATATAGTTCTCCTGGTTCTGCTTTCTTGGCTCTGTATCAGTACGTATATACATATATATCTTGACGTATTTCTCTGAATTCATTCTATCATCTATTTCTTCCCGGTATAATAATACATTCCTATAACACAATTTGGCTGGTCATTCCTTAACTGATGACCTCCTACTTTGTTTCTGTTTTATTGCAATTACATTAATTGTATTCAACCAAAATTGAATATTTTGGTACATATGGGACCTTTCTTTTTCATTGATCTTCTTGGGGTGTATGCCCAGAAGTGATATCATTCGGTCAGAAAGGTCTAAACAGCTTAGTGTTTTTTCTCCCTTAAAGTCAATGTGTCTTTCATAACTGGTTAGACCAGGTCATAGCTACACTCACCACTTATTAGTGTGTCTTTCTTCTCATAACCCTTCAAGGATTGCTTCTGTCATTTATTCCCGCTATCGATATGAGCATGCATTTTGGTGAATTTGAGTTAATTATTTTGACCTTTGACTTTTTTTCATTAGGGTACAGGAAGAGTACAGAGCTGCTAAAGGTGAAAGAGAAATTACTCTTTATACTTTTGAAAAGAAAAGAAAGCCATCTCATACCATCCAGAGAGTAAGTATTGGTTGATAGTGATTTTTGGTATTTACTGTATTTGCAAATGGCCAGTGCTTGAGATATGTTCTTTGTACATTGGGCTCTTTTCTTGTTGTTATTTTACAAGTGTCTAGGGCGTGTGGGGCATAGGGATATTTGTAACTTGCAGCAATTCTCTTGTAGTGATGACGGGGCCAAGGATTCTTTTTATTTGGCCCTGGTTATACAGTTGCAATGTACAGTTGTGATCCCATTATTTCATTGTATTTCTCAACTTGGCCTTTCATACCAGGTTGCCAAATCCTACCAGCATCACAGCCATTATCTTACTTAATAAATGTCTTTTGAATTGAAACGTATTAAAAGGTGATTGTAGTCAGTGGTAAGCTTGGAATTTGGAGTCATGCACCTCCTTCATTCCACTTGTAGGAATGGGCAGATATAGCCAGATGCTTTTGAAAGTTGGCTAGGCTGGAAACCTTGGGATGACTAGAATTGGGGGAAAGGAGTAGCCGTATTGAATCCCTAATGGGAAGAAGAAATCAAACACCAAATTTCTAGGCAATCTTTTGATTGGTTGTTTAAGGCCATTTTAGGTAACTTTCAAAAAAATAAAGTAACTTCACTCCAGATATACCTAGGTCATTTTGATGTTCGCATGTTCATTGTTTTTGTTTGTTTAGGTTATTGTTTTAACCCCTGCATTTGGTACTGTAATTTTTGTAGAGATGGAATTTGTGCTGTTGAATTATTTTCGTTGCAGTTTTTAAGTACTGTTCCCAATTAATCTCTTTTCCTTCTAATCCAGTTTATTAAAGGACAATGACTTAAAAAAAGAGAGATGTGATCTAGGAAGATTTTTGTTCACATTGGAAATGGGACATTTTTTTTGAGCATAAGAATAATACCAAATATTTGCTTATAACAAATCATCGATTTACAAAACTTTTAAACTTGCTTTTGAAAAATGGTAATTTAAAGTTGAAAATAGCAGAAACTTTCATGGTACTTCCATGATTGAGTATAAAAAGTATGGTCTCTGTATCAAAAGACCCAGGCTCAAATCTTTTTATATTTAGTCCTATGTGACATTGGACAAGGCACTTAACATCCCTGGGCCTCAGTTTCCTTTGGATTAGATGGCCTTTGAGGTCTCTTCTACTCCAGATCTTTGATATATGATCCTATAGCTCATCTACTAAATGTCTGTATGTTCAACCTTTGATTCTTTGTTCTTGTATCATCTGTAGATACCCAGTATGTCTCTTGCATGCTTCCTTCTGGAGTAGAACTTTGATTATTAAGTCCAACCTTGGTTGGTGTTGGGCAATGTACCCCAAGTAAATTGGTGTCTTAATGTCTGGGTTAGACCGCAGTCCAAAGCCAATTGACAAATGGTTTGTGATTGTCTGTAGTTTTAACCCATCTTCCCTCCATTTACACATGCAATTTAGAATTAACTATAACATTCTTTATTAGTCCTTTGTTGATTACAAAAATTATGGACTGGTATTTTATATCAAAGATCATTTTGTGGTCTATTTGATGTAGTTATATCCTGATTTTTAAGTGGGACCACTGAAAATTTTTAAATCACTACAAACGCCTGCTTTTTTTTGAAAGTTACTTTTCTTTGGAAATTTTTAAAGTTTCCAGTCTTGTTTCAATTGTTCCTTTATGCTTAATCAGCAAAATTAATACTTATAACTGGATGTTATGTGTTTCCTTTAATTTGATCATGAGGTCCTACAAACAAGAAAGCTTCAAGATTAAAATGACTGCATCAGAATCTTAAGTTCATCTTAAGAAGCATATTTTCCTTTATTTTGTATTTTCTTATATAATTTGTTTTCATTCTCTAATTACTTGGGTTTGTGGATGTATCCATGCAATATTTATGAGATTCAGATCTTGGTTTGTTTTTTTTTTTAATCTCCTTTCCACTTCTTTACTAAAGGATGATTTTCAACCTGGTAGTGGACGATCTTTACGGAGAATACAGCGCAAGCGCCAACATGCTTACCGAACACGTTCTACCATAGAGCATGATCCACAAGTACCAAGTCAAAGTGCAGTTGCCCGGGAAGAATCAGAAAGCTCCTCAGAGGTTAGACACCTGATGTTCTTTCATTAATGTTGTGTTTATTAAATTTACATGTTTTCAAACTATTTACATTTTCAGAGCCATTTATTTCCTATTTCTTTCACTCATTTTCTTCCTTCAAAAGCATTTTTTTTTTTCAAAAATGTGACATTTCTTAGCTTACAGCCTTAATTCAAACCTGGGTCTATCAGCTGCGGTCCGTGCCTCGTGTCTCTTCCCTCTCCAGGTCATTCTTGACCCTGTCATTCCCCTACTCTGTAAACTCCAGGGGCTCCCTATTACCACTAGAATCAGATATAAACTCCTTTGTTTGGCATTTAAAGTCCTTTCCAGCCTGGCCCCCAAGACCTCAGCCTACTTTTCCAGCCTTATTTTATATTGCCGTCCCTTTTCATTCTTTGCAGTCTTGCTCTACTGGCCCTCCTGACTGCATTCTCAGGCATGCTCCATCTCCTGCCTCCTTTCATTTGCGCTGATTATCATTTATTCCTGGAATGTACTCCCTTTTTGCCTCTGCTGCTTGGAATCCCAGATTTCCTTCAAAATTCAGTTCAAGTGCTACCGACCTGTTATTACCTGTCCTGATCACTCCTCCATTCTCCATCCCCCATCCCCCTCCCCTCCCCGATCTTGCTAGCACCTTCACTCCCAAGTTTGCTTATTCTGATTTTGTATTTTCTTGAGGGCAGGCGCCATTTCTTTTTCGTCCGCGTATCCCCAGGGAAGATCTAGCACAGTGGTTGATTCAGGTATTTAACAGCTATTTCTTGATCTATGGACTGTTTGACATTGAGAGAAAGCAGTCATAGCACCATGGGGGTGGGGGTGGGGGCGGCAGAAGGGTGGGAGGATTGGAGAGAAATGAAGAGATTTTGAGGCCTGAGTTCTAGCTTCATCTGTGTCAGTTACACGCTCTGTGACCTTGAGCCAAATGACTTCCCATGAGGTAGTTGGACTAAATGATCCTCAAAGTCTGGAATGGAGAAAACAGAACCAAAGTGATTACTAGGGAGTTGAAACCAAAGATTATATATAAGGAAGTTACAGAAGTACCTGATGAGTTCAGTTGGACTATGATTAAGCCTCCAGACACCATCCAAATTACCTCCCAGCATACTGAAAGAACAGGGGGATTCGATTACTGAGTGCCACAGCTATGAGCGTGGAGAACTTGAGAGATTTGTTGCCGATTTTCCAAACAGGTAAGATTGTAAAGTTTTCAGATTATGGACCTAATAAGTTGACTTTAGTTATTGATAAAATCCTAGCATCTACTACTACTAAGATGATAAGTATTACCTGTGTGATTCTGGGCAAGAGTGATTTTTCTGTCCTAGGTAGCTTTCTAACAATTTTAAGTGGCTTCCCTGTACTAAGGAAATCTCTGGTCCAGGCCTAATTGTCATTTCTTACAAACCACCGATCTCCCCCAGCCTCAAAAAGGAAAGGGGTGGTAAAATAAACATTTAGAAAAGGAGTTAGTTCAGTCATTTTTTAGTCGTATCTGATTCCTTCTTGAACCCATCTGGAGTTTTCTTGGCAGAGATACGGTAGGGGTTTGCCATTTCTTTCTCCAGCTCATTTTACAGATGAGGAAACTGAGGCAGAGAGAGTGAAGTGACTTGCCCAGGGTCACACAGCTAGGAAGTGTCTGAGGCTGATTTGAACTCAGAAAGGTGAGTCTTCCTTACTCCAGGCCCGGCACTCTATCCACTGCAGCGCCACCTAGCTGCTAAGAAAAGGAAGGCTTGATAATAAAGCTTAGGAATGAGAATTTTTAAAAGTATTTAGCATTCCTGTGAAGAAAAAGGCAGTGGTAGGCCCTGGTGGTGAGCTGTGGTTAGACTGTCCCGTTTGGTTCTTCAGGGCTGGTGAGATTGAAGCTCTGGCCTGGCTTAGAGCTGAGCAAGGAGATGCCAGTGAAGTAGATACCACCTTGAAGCAGTCTAGCAAGGGAGTAGCTGGGGGGCCAGAGCTCTCGTTGGCCCTGTCCCCTGTTGCTTTTCCCATGCTGAGCTGTGCAGAGACAAGGCATTGCCTTTCCTGGATTCTGTGCCTCCTTATCCCTTTGGCAGTGGGACCAGATTGAAAGTATAGAAAGAGGGAAACAGAAATCACTTTAGTTAAAGAAGGAATATTCATCCTAAGATGACTGCTCCCTAAATTCAGATGGGACAAGCAAAAAGCTTAGGCACGTGAATTTACAACTGATACTTTACAAGGCAGTTTGACTTAAATGAGGTGCATAAATACAGTGCAGAATAGAGATCACTGTGTTCGGAAGATCCGGATTTGAATCCTGGTTCTGCCACTAATTGGCTCTTTGATCTTGGGCAAGTCACTTTACTTTTCTGGGTCTTCGTTTCTTCTTTTTTTAAATGGTCACTCCATGAGCTGCTTCTTACCTCTTGCCCTTGGTGTAGTGTGTGATACTTTGCTCATATGTAAGAATTCCTGATTACAGCTTTGGTAAGAAGGACCTTAAAGTAGAAAGCATTAAAAGGAGGGTTCCCTAGGTGGTGAGAGGCCTTGAAACTGACATGAGGCCCAGTTGAAGACAGTAGACATAGACGCTTAGCCTAGGTGACAGAATATTGTAATAGATACTGTTAATATTTGAAGGGATTAAAAAAGGGATTACATTTATTCTGTGTGATCCTTAAGAAGCAGTGGGTAGGAGTTAGAATACATTGGAGGAAGACTTGAGCTCGATGTAAGGAAAAACTGCTTAATGATTAGAGCTATATATGCCAAAACGATACCCACCTATTGGCTGTGTGTACGGGTATTGATTGGTTGGACTCTGTGGTCTTTGGGGGGCCTTTGCACAACTGAGATTCTATGATTGGGTGCCTTTTACCCTTCTGGAGAGGCCACATTCTAGAACAGAGCTTTCCAATTCATTGTATTCTTTCAGCCTGCTTTATTATTATCTAGTTGATCTGTTTCATATATTGCCAAAATGCTTCCAAAATTATTTATTTGTGACAATTATTGAGAATATTCCTAGTTGATGATAGGAATAAACTGAAATGTAAATGGTGTTAATGAGTTATGACGTGTGAAATCCACACAATATGCATGTTTCTCTTATTTGCATTTTTGTCTGTCTAGTAGATCCTTAACTGCTGAGTAAAAGTCATATGTAGAATGATACAACGGAGGATAGAATAAACCCAAACAGCATTTTGTAAGTGACCCAACATTTTCTGGGAATGAGGAAGTATGATCAGAGTCATAGCATAAACATATTAGAGGAGAAATGAAGGCAACAACTTTAACAACTCTGGATAGTTCCTGACCAAAGGATAGTGATGTTTACAAAGATAACATATACCATTTGTGTTACATAAAATGCAAAAGCCTTTATACAAGTAGCATCAGTGCGATTAGAAGGGGACAACAAACTGGGAAATGATCTTTATAGCAAAGTTTTCCAGTGAGGGTCTGATGTCCAAGATAGGGAATCGCTACAAATCTGTCAGTATGAGATCCATAGTCAAAGGGTGTGCAAGCTATCAACATAATATGAAAATATAAGGGAATGGGGAAAACAACATGACAATTTTCTTTTCTTCCTCCTTTGCCTTACTCTCCCATTTCTTTTGGCCTGTGCTTTAACTTTGTTTTTTTCCTCACAGTGATACTTATAGCTTGCTCTTCAGCGTCATTCGTTTATTCTTTTTGAATGTTCTGTTGATGATTCTCCCCCTTACTGCTGTCACTTCCCAATGCCCCACCTTCTTCCTCCTCCTCAACATTACAAAGGACAGCCAAGCAAAACCAAGGAACACACTCGTCATATCTGATGGCATGTCATGCTACACCTATAGTCCCCACTCTACTGTAGGATTTATCGGTCCTCAGAAGTTTTGAGTTGCCATTTTAAAATGCTATATTTCCTCTACATTATTATAAGCATTGCTTTACTCGGTTTACAAGGTTTGCCTCAACCAACTTGAGAAATCTTGATATTTGAAATGTTTCATTTCATATAATAACTGGGTGTGCGTTGATTAGATACCTAGTTATTTTTGAAATAATGAATTTTTAATTTAAGAAACGATATCCTTGGGCTTAGGCTTAAGAGGTATACTTGGGATTTAAATATTGAAAATTGCATCATATGACAGTTGTTATTGAAATTATAACTTGTGCTTAGTTATAAGCATGTACTAAATCCAGTCACAAAGATGCATGGAAGAAATCCTGCAAATATTTAATTAGAATGTTGTGGAGTTTTCCTGGGACACAAGTTGTTCAGTGCTTTGTTATACAGTCATTTCTGCTATAAAATGATAGGTGTTCCTCCAAATCACCAAGCTATACAAAATTGAGCAAATAAAAACCCACAGGGCTTAGGGGAAATTTGGAATTGGGGGCACAACACTCAGAACCTTGGTCAGTGGAATTTTTAAAAAAGACCTAATAAAAATGGTAGCATAGTTTGATACATGTTAAATGGTTAAGAAACATATGAATACTACAGTAAATATTTGTGACACCCACAGTGTCTGGATGCTGCTCAGCCTGCCCCCTGATTCCCACAGAACCCAAGATGACAAAATCTTCAGCTATTGGGGGATTCAGGATTCAGGACTGAAGGGGGAGGAGGGGTATGAACCAATCTTCCTTGGCCCATAGCTCCTGCTGCATCAGAAGATATACAGTAAATATGGCACTGTCTCATTCCTCTCCCAGGCTGCACTCCAGGCTTTCTCTTATGTCCCCGAGCCAGGTTGCTCTTCTTGCAAATGTGGGCTAACTTTTGACATTTTATTAACTTCAACCAATTTTGGAAACCAGGTGTTCACATTGAAAGTGACCAGCTTGGGAATGCCAAATGAAAAATCTGTAGAGTAATGCAAGGTGCACAGAGCTTCCTATAATCGTGAATAATCGTGATTGATTATCTCCCAATCTCTGTGAATTATCTCCCTATTAAAAAAAAAAAGTATTAAGACAATACACTGAGGGCACATTCTCCAATCACCTCCAAATACGTGTTTATGTAGGAGAATAACTCCTATCCCATTTATTCATTTCAGTTGAAGCAAGAAGACAAGAATTTTGATGAAGTAACAATTAAAGTAGCATGTGTGTGATACTTTCAGAATGACCTAGTTAAAGAGACAGTAAAGACATTGTTCCAAATGGATTTTCAGTCATAATGTGTGAAGTTACTGAGAGCATATCTTAGTGTATGCCAGTATCATGGGTAAAAAAATAAAAGTCTAAGAATGTGCCCTCAGAGTCCATCAGAGCCATATAATTTGTGAAACTATATTAAAATAATATTAAACATCAATTCAAGAATCTGAAGTCAATTGGATCAGTCAACCAACCCAGTAAATGTGGTACTTAACCTTGAAAAAGACCTGCCCTTTGCTTGGAAGTGAGCATCTTTAGGGGGTGCAGCTTGGGAGTTAGTGTGAAGTGGTGCAGTTTTCTATGTTCTCAATGTGTTCTCATGGATGAAATCTCACATAAGCAAACGTGAAATTGCATTATGCTCCAAATGTTCTCTAATAGATCAGTCATATTGGAACAGATTGGGAGTTTTCAAAACACACATTATAGCAGAACTGACTGAGCTATCATGCTAGGAAGAGACACTGAAGACTTGATTTGATTTTGATTGCAGGAAGAGGAAACCGGAGGCACTAGCGATGCATCTGCCGATGATGTTGTAGCCGAGTGGCAAATGGAAAGCTCCTCCAGGTACTTGTAACTAGTTTATTCCAAATTCTTCTTCAATTTTGTTGGAGAAAAGTCCTGAAAGTTTCATGAATCTGCTGAAGTACAAATTAAAATCGCATGTGTCTCAGCACTACACATATGAATCGTATTTCAGTCTCAACAGACACCTTGGGAGTAATATTTGAAATAATACTTACATTTATTTAGAAAGTCTCTGATCAGAACCTATATCAGCAGCCAGTCACACTGCTTTGTGGATCCTCTTAACTGCCGTATCACTTTTTTTTTACCAAAAAACATCTCGCTACAAATAATTTCAGTAATACAGTAAAAAATATTCTCTTTATGCTTGCACAGATGCCCGCTAGTATACATTTTAAAAATGAGCATGTCAAATTTAAATGTGAACCAAACAATTGCTCTTCATTACTAAGCTCTTTGTACATTTGTTTTATTTGCAGTGATTCATCAAGTGATTATTCTGATTGGACAGCAGATGCTGGGATTAATCTGCAACCTCCAAAGAGACAAACCAGACAGACAACACGGAAAATTTGTATCAGTTCTGAGGAAGAAAATTTGAAGGATACTAAATCACTGGAAGAAAAGAAAAGTAAACCAAAACAGACAAGAAAAAAGGTCTGGAATTTGAGGACTGAATTTTTTGGTCTTTCATATGGTTTTAGTACTGAGAGACTAAATGGATTTAAAATTTACTTTGTGAGCACATGTAACTGGTTTTAGACAATGGTGTTTTTTTGTTTTGTTTTTTCCCGTTCTCTAAAGGCAGTTTTTATTTTTTGGCTTGTTTTAAGTTGTTGTGCACAGTTATAAAATATTCAGATAGCATGAATCCTTTCTCTAATAGTCTGGAATTTATGTAATTTTTTTCCCCTCTATTTGGAAAAGCAGCAAAAAGTAAATTGTACGGTGCATAATTCCTTTACTATTGATTTTTTTGTTTCATTTCTATTTTTTTTTTTCGTTCTTTAGTGACAGTTTTATTTGTCATTTTTAGCATTCCCTGGTGATAAGGTGTGATCCCTCTATTTCCTTAAATCTAAAATACTGTAGTTAAGCATTCTGTTGCCTCTTTCATTGATAGATTGAGATCTAGCATCAGCAAAAGCATTATGGATTGCATTTCATTTCTTGCACGGTCATAGAACAGCAATACTTGTGTTAAAGATAGAGTGTATATTTCAAAATAATTAGTATTTCTTGCTTTAATTTGGGTAGCGCCCAAAAGACTTGTATTGTCAGGAAAGTTTTCATTAACTCTTGAAAGAAAAGGTTTGAAAATGAAATGTTAGGATACACCGTGGACCAGCTGTGTTTAACGTTTGATAGGTTATTATCCATGTATTTATGACTATAGATGTCTCATTTTTATTTTAAAGAAACCTAGCGGACTGCCTGCTGTAACAGGTGAACCCAGTGAAGAGTGGCTTGCACCCCAGTGGATCTTGGATACCATCCCACGCCGTTCCCCATTAGTTCCACAGATGGGAGATGAGGTGACTTTTATTGATTGGCTTGCATAGTCATGAAAACTATTCATTATTTTCTCTAGTGACTTCACTCCTAATAGTTGAATTGAGAAGATATTTGTAAGTGCACACAAGAGAACAAAAGGAGAGGCAGAAAGACTCAGAGAAAGCTTTGAAATTTACATTGTGAATTTCCAAAGAAAACCAAGATATGGACAGATTTGCAGTTTCATGTACAGTTTTCTTTTTCTATTCTATGTATAGGGAAATGCCCATTTTATTTGGAGTTGGTTTAGAATAAAAATTGTTTTGTTTTGTTTTTTTAATTTAAAAATACAGCTATAGCAATTTGATCCTAAATGCAAGTTTTAATTCTGGAAGACTGGCATTTTTCAGAACATCAGTAACCTAATTGGAAAAGTTCCAAAAAACAAAACCAAAGAAAACCAATTCCTTCCTTTTGGGCATTTTATTGAATAAATTAATGAATATAGTTAACCGTATTTGTAGTTGGCTAGTACAAAATTTATGAAATCTATCTAAACAAGAAGTCATAGCTCTAAATTTCTTTATGAAAATTGTGATGTTATCTCTGAAGCGCCAAAAGGTTTGTATACTTTCTCTAACATGTTAAGTGAAACCTCAGTTTTGATTGCTGGCTGGTCATTCATTGCATGGGAGAGACAGTCTGTTGCCTAAAGTGTACTTAAAGACTTTCCACCCAGGCAGAACTTTGGGAGAGCTTATAGTCTGCTGGTTTGGAAGATTTTGGGTTACTACCACACTGTTACGAGTCAGCCAAGGACAACTTTTGTTGAACAAGGGAATGTTGAAAGTATCAGTACTTTTGCAATGTTAGACCCTATTTGCAAGACTGTGTTTAGAAAATTAGATGCGTCAGAGTACCTAAGCACATATTACATCTTTGCCAAACATCAGTTTTGGTTGTTTAAATATTTTGTTTAGTGCAAAAGATCTTAAGAACCCTATAATTTTTTGACCATTTTACAAATACTAACATAACTGTTAACTAACATAACTAACATTGGTTTTCTTAATGAGAGACCTTGTTCCACCTGCAGTGGAGTCGATCTCCTGCTGGCTGATATATTACTGTAGGAACTGAAGCCATTCCATTTTGGTCGCATAGGAAGACATTGAGCCATTGCCGCCAAATAAAAGAGTGGCTTATAGGCTTTTGTCAGAAAAACCAATGGAGGGGGCAGCAGAGCTGGCAGCATCATGCTCAAAGGCGATGAGAAACATCATTGAATGGGTTACTTGATCATCTTGATTTGCAGTTCTTATGATGTTTTGGGAGATTCATGAAGCTAGTGATAGTTTTTGTACCACTGTGTTGCCAAGGTTTAAGAAGTAGAGAAATTCTATGAAGAACTTGACAACTTACTCCTAACTGATATTTTTACTTTTTAAATTCAAATTCTATTTATTATGAACTTAACAAATATGAATATTTTACCCTAGTAACAAGTGTCCTTGTCTCTGTCCACTTCGAAACTTCTTTGTTACTTTCCTGTCTATTTTTTAATATTCGTTTCATTTTAATGTTTCATTCTTGGCATCAGTACCTCAATTCTCCTCTCCCCCTCTTTCCTTGTAACAAATGAGTACAGTCAAGGAAATTTACACATTGGCTATGGCCTCCCAGCCAGTTCCACACAGTTTGCTATTTGGTGATGTCAGGGAAGAGCTAGACATAGGGGACTACGGTGAAAGGCATGTTGAAATTATGTGGTTTGGGAATAAATAATACAGAGGGCAAGTGACTGAAGATTATTTAACATCTTCATCCCTGCATGCCATGCAGACTTTCTTTAGGAAGATTGCCCAAAAGCCCTGGGTGTAGCAAACTCCAAATAACTTAAAGAAAAAAAAAAAGAAATGAACTCTTATTTCAGAGTTCAGACCAAAAAATGACTGATTACTGATGTGGTAGTCATTTCTGATTTAGTTTTCATTATACAGTCAGATCAGCTGATCAGAGCAAAGGTCAAATTTAAGATCAAGTTGATTGAAAGACTAAAGATTAAAAAGTACCACGTGCAATCCCAGCATGCCGTTTGACCCAGTTGCTGTTATTGGTGCTGTCTATAATCAAGTAGATGGTTAATGATTATTGATTGATTCTGAAAAATGAGAAATAGATGAACATCAAGGCTAGCTTTACTACCATTTCTTTGCCGAATTTAACTGATTAACATTCACAAGGAGACCAAAAGAAACCCAAGAAATCTCTTTAACCAGAAAACACTTAGGTCTCCTTGCACATAAAAATGGCAGCTATGGGTAGCACTAGTTGAAAGTACAAACTCAGCAGTGGGGAAAATGAGTGTTTAGAAACTTTCCATTAACCTCACCTAAGCCATTTCAGCCCACGAGCATTTTTTATAAGTGAATATCAGAAGAGAACAACAAACTGATCTCGCCACCATGACTGTAGGAGCTTATTCACCTACTTGATAATAATGTAAGAAGTGCATTCGGGTCTCTCAGTATGTTGGATGGAAGTGGAAGTAGCATTCAAGGAAATCCAGGTGGGAAAAGAAGCTGGACTTGACCTCGGCAATATGCACAGAATACATCCCTGCTAGAGAGGACATATTTTTAAGGCACTTAGGGATAGATTTTCAGGATATCTCAAAGAAGGGTGAATTCCAAAAGGGATAAGCATGATCATGGTATTAAAACCCACAACAAAACAAAACAAACCTGGTGTGGTAGAAATTATCCAAAATTGGGTGACTACTGAGCCATATGCCTATTTCCTTTAAATTCTGAATTCTGTTCTTTTAGTTTATTTTGGACTGTCGGGGTAATGCAGTTCCAAACTGTGGAGGTCCCCATAATCAAAAATTAAGTCAAAACTTAAATTACCCTTAGAAAGTAGGAGTCATAACTTCTGTAGTTCTGTAGTGTATGGATTTATACTACTGGGCAGTTGATGTTCTTCACTGGACTCTTGTCTAGCTGTCTTATACGAGTGAAACCTCATCCCCTTTATTACTATGAATATAGCAAATCTTCATTGTTAATGGTTGTGTGTTTGGAGGATGGATTATGTTACACATTGCAGATAATGTTGCCAGGAGTTGTACAGGAAGATCTGACTTAATGCAAATTCACTTCTAGAATGGTTGTTAAATGACTTGGCACTATGTTGTCTCTATCTTTATGTATGTGAATGATTGCTGTTACCTAGGCGTTAAATCCTTGAGGTCATTTGGTTTCATTTTCCTCCTATAGCACTTGTGTGCCAAGGATGAGCACTGGAACGTTTTTGCTGGGCGACAGAAACAGAAGATGGTGTTTGTCAGAGTGTTTGGGGATATAGAATTTCAAAATGACATTTTATTTAAGACCTTTCTTTTCTCCCTTAGCTGATATATTTTAGGCAAGGCCATGAAGCTTATGTGCGGGCTGTAAGAAAAGCAAAAATATACAGTGTTAATTTGCAGAAACAGCCATGGAACAAAATGGACCTCAGGGTAAGCTTCCCAAGTTCTTGAACCTGTGTCTTTGAAGTACCCTTGCAAATGAATTAAACAATTTATTGCCTTGGAAGACTTAGCAATTGTGTGGGGTTTGTTTTTATTGTTCTTAACTCCTGCCTAGACTTTTACAATAGTCTCCCTGCTTCCAGCTCCTCTCCCTTCCACACAGCAAGGTAAGTGGTCGTTGTAAAACACAGAGTGCTTCTTGTCACTCCTACACACAGAATATGCAATGGCTCCCAAACCCTTCCCCAGTCAGACTCTCTTAACCTACTTCTGCAAGCTGAATTCCATGTTCCTCCAGTTCATGGACTCAGCATCCCCAGTAAACTGGCAGACTAGCTCTTTCTAACATTCTGTCTCCTTCCATGCCATTCTTAGAATATACTTCCTGTACCCTACCATCTCAGAGAAGTCCTAATTATAGTTTAGGTTGAAACTGTGGTGGGTAGATTGCTGGATTTGAAGTCAGGAAGACCTAAGATTAAATCCTGCCTCAGACACTTACTAGCTCTTTGATACTGAGCAAGTCACCCTTCCCTAGCCTCAGTTTCCTCATCTGTAAAATGGGGAAAATCATAGTACCTACCTCATGAGGTAATTGTTAGGATCAAATTAGTTACCACATGTGAAGTACCTAGAGTGCTGGGTGTTTCCTCAATCTGTGTACGTGTTCTTATCTTCCCAAAAGAATATAAACTCCTCGAGGGCACTTAATCAGTAGTTGTTGAATTTCCTGACTAATTCTCACATTTATAGAACTTGTATTGATAATGTGCCGGGCACGGTGGTTACAAATGTGAAGTAAGCAAGAGTAGTCCCTCCCTTCAAGGATTGTGGATGGTTGGGCCCTGCCAGCCCCATCAGACCCAAGGGAATGGGGGCAGAGTCCAGGGTAGTGGTGGAGAGAAGGTGGAGGGAATGGTCCATGTAGAGCAGGCCCACATGTTGTACAGGCCTGATGTGGAGTCATCATGACACGGAGGGGTCTGCACAGTGACATATGGCATCCAGAGTTTGATTGAAAGGGGTGTGTTGTGTTTTCATTTTTTTAATTTAATTTTTTTTAGTTCTCATTTGGTTTTTTCTTTTTATCGTAATTGAGAGGCCGCTGCCTAGCCTAGTGGGAGCATCAACAATAAAAAGGAAGTTCTGAAGTGAGAGGAACATTTAGGGGAAAGATGGTGGTAGTGATTGTGATGGAAACTCACTTTTATAGAGCACTTGAAGGTTCACGTTGTGCTTTACAAAGATGATCTCTTCTGATCTTCACAACAACCCTCAAATTGGTGCTATTACTATCACCGTTTTACAGTTGAGGAAACAGGCTGAGAGAAGTTCAAGGTTCTATCATTTGAATGAACCTCATGCCCATTGTCAGTAATAATTCCTGATGTTTGTGTGGTTCTCCATATTTTACCAAGTATTTGCAGGATAGGAAATGCTTGACAGGCCTTGACAATAGTTTGGATGTGGGGAGTGAGAGGGAACCTGGGCCTCGAGGCCATGTGTAGCCTTCTAGGTCCTTGGGTGCAGCCTTTTGACCAAGTCCAAGTTTTACAGAACAAATCCTTTTGTTCTATGAAGTTTGGATTCAGTCAAAGGGTTGCGCTTGAGGACCTAGAAGGCCACATGTGCCCTCGAGGCCACAGGTTCCCCACCCCTGGAGGAGGAAAGATAATGAATTCGGTTTTGGTCATGATGAGTTTGAGGTGTGTATAGGACATCCAGTTGCAGCTGCCAGTAGGCAGTGGGGAGATGTGAAGCTGGAGATTGGGAGAGAGGTTAGAGATAACAGAATCATCTGCTTAAAGGTGGTCATAGGGGCAGCTAGGTGGCACAGTGGATAGAACACTGGCCTTGAAGTCAAGAGGACCTGAGTTCAAATCCGGCCTCAGACCAAACACTTGACACTTACTAGCTATGTGACCCTAGGCAAGTCACTTAACCCCAGTTGCCTTTAAAAAAAAAAAAAAAAAAAAAAAAAGATGATCATGGAGTCCATGAGGGCTGATGAGGAAGAAGAAAGCTTTGTGGAGCACCCACGGTTAGCGGGTATTACCTGGGGGAAGATCCAGTAAAAGAGGCTGAGGACTTGTTTTGTATGTTGCTGATACATTAGGAATAGTTGTTGAATCGAAATCAGCCAATTTTTCTTATGAAGACAAGATAAGAAGAGATGTATTTTATTTTAGTAGTAGGAATTTGGAAGGTGAATTAAAGTTAAGGACGTGGGGTGTTAGGCTGTGTAGTTGAGCCGCCTTCTGCAGACTTAGAAACAGGACCGGAAACTATTTGAATTCTTTGGAAAAAGCAAATGAATGTGTTTCTCCCTCAGAGTTCATTCTAGCCCTGTGATAGAAAATGGGCGATTTATAGACTTGCCTCATGATAAAATAAGATGTATGTGTTATGCAGTTACATCAAACAATATTTCTTTGGTAACTTCTGAATAGGAACAAGAATTTGTGAAGACTGTGGGAATCAAATACGAAATTGGACCACCTACACTTTGCTGCTTGAAGCTCGCATTTCTGGATCCCATCTCAGGCAAAATGACTGGAGAATCTTTTTCCATTAAGTAAGTAGCATATTCTGGTCATAGTGCTGAATTCGACAAAAAAGATTCTATGACCAGAGCACTAAGTTTTTATCGAATACCTTCTACTTGTGCAGCATATAGCAGCTTCTGTTTGCTCCTCAATTGGGATGTGGGTATTAGAAGAAATTCCCAAGACACAAATTATCACTAAAACTAAATTTACACGGTCAGATAAAATTCCTACCCTTGAGCAGTGTCCAGTCTTACTGTAGAAGTAGAGCATCTGTGGCTCCTCTTATTTGTGGTGGCTTTTATTTTGATGGCCAAATTGTAGGTTTTGGGCAACTTAATTAGAACCTTAAGTTATGTTTAATGTTTTGCTAAACTTTTATCTGACCCTGTAAATTTAGTTTTAGTGGTAATTTTGTCAAGCAAATTGACAGGAACATTTTATCACTTTTGAATATGTTTAATAAGTTAGGCACAGCTTCCATCAGATAGCCCTTTGTATGCTTGGGGTGCAAAGTGAATGCATTTTAGGCATACCTGCGTGAAAGTCTTTGCACCTGTGTGTTTGGTGATACTTCATACCTCAAATGACTTCCCTCCCAAGACACTTGGATTTCCTGATTCTATACCTTTGTACCTTTATATTGACAGCCTTGATATTGATAGGCCTCGAATGAGTGGGAGCATGTAGTGATTGCAGAAGAACATTGGGCTTGGAGGTAGAACCCCTGTGCTTGAGTCTCTGCCTGGGAGCAGCCAGCCAGTTCATCTCTTCCTGCCTCTGTGCCTTTTTCTGTAAAGCGGGGCTTATAATTCTGTCATTGCCTACTTCGTAAGGTTGTTTTCAGGGAAAGGTTTTTTGAACCTTCAGGCACTAGCAAAATGGGAGTTTATTAGTATTGCCTCTGTACTTTATGGGGATAGGGATTGGACTTAGGATTTCATTGGTAGATTGAACTTTTTGGCAGCTTGCTGCAGCTTACAGGATCACAGAGTTGCCTAGGCACTGAGAAGTTAAAGGCCTTGCCCCCGGAGTGTACAGCTATTTGTGTGGTACGCACAGGGCATATTTATAGAAATATATAAATTTCTTTTTCCTACATAGGTACCATGATATGCCAGATGTTATTGATTTCCTTGTTCTCCATCAGTTTTATAATGAAGCCAAAGAAAGGAACTGGCAGACTGGTAAGTAGATTTTTTGCCACCTTTTATGGGCAGTACTTCAAGGTAAATAAATGGGTTTTTTATTTTCATTGTTGACTAAGAGATCTCAAAATGGATTTGTATTGGAGCAAAAGGGTGTGGTGTTCATGATGATAACATAAATGTAACAGCTTATTATCTCCGCTGCTTTTCAATTTGTTAATGGATAATTAGTTAAAATGACCAATCCACCTGAAGATGGGAGAATTGACATGAGATGTGTCTAGCATAGTATTTTGATTCTAGTATTTGCACAAAGGAAAGTTTAATGAAGTCATAGTCTCTGTGACATAATTTCAAAAACTTAGGGATAGCACACACATTTTCTATGGATCTAAATCCATTAATTTCTGTCAAATCTTTTTTGGACCTCTTTGTTTTTATCCTCTGCAACTCATAGACAATTATGCTACCTGTTGTGTAAAGAATGACTTCTTTTTGGTCCTAAGGGTTCTTCTTTCAAACCTGAAATACTGGCATTCATCTAGGCATTAATTGGTACACATTCTCTTATTTTTAGTCTTGAATTTTGTCTATTCTCAGTATTTCCAGGCTGAATAATCTTAAAACGTAGAGATTCATAGGACCTAAATTATAAATGTCTTTAAATCATCTAATTCAAGGGTTCTCTTAACCTTTCTTGTATCATGGACCCTTTTGGCAAACTGATGAAACCTATTGATTACTTTTAAGGTTAATTTTTGAAAAATTAATAATTGAAGGAAATCCTTAATTTCTATTAGAGATTAATGAAAATAAAGTTGTAATTATTTTCCTATCCAAGTTTGTGGCCCTTTGGATATGTTTAATGGAATGAGACTTGTAGATCCCAGGTTAAGAACTCTTGATCTTATCCAGCCCCTTCTTTTGCCAGATTAGTGAACTGGGAACCAAAAAAGTGAATCAATTTAGACTGTACTCACACAACAGCTCCACTGTCCTTGGCATCATCTTATTAACGAATCAATCAATCAGTCAACATTGATTAAACACCTACTGTGTGCCAGGACCTGTGCCAAGTACTGTTTTCTTTTCTCTGGAACTTCTCTAGTTCTTATATATCTTTTTTGGGTTGGTATAACCAAAGCTGCCCTATTTATCCAAGGTGCAGATGAAACCCTGTTTTTGTATAATCAGACTTGATAATAACAGTAATCATGCCCAGCATTTTATTGGACTTTCTGAACGCAGGAGAATCTTGGGCCTTTGTTTTCTAACATTTTTTTTGTTTTTTAACTATTCTATCTGGTTACTATAGATTTTTTGGCTTGGGTCAAAGCCAATGATGAAAAAGCAGATGCATCGTACCACATTAATGATACCTCCTCATGTAGATTTCATTCTGTCTTGAAGAAAAGAGAGAGAAACTCTACTTGAAATTTCACTATCTAGGAGAGTTGAATATTATCTGAAATCTCAGCGTATTTCTCTATGTTGTCCTCCATGATCATTTATACAACTTTTAAACCAGGTTTTCCTACTACCCAGGTCCCTCATTCGTTACAGAAAGGGCCACCTACTCACCATGAATACTTTTCCATTTGGAGAACTATCCAACTATTCCAACTTCTGAGCCAATTTCCTTTCCATGAACAGGCCTTTCATTCTCAAAATTTTGGCATGAAACCAAATTAGAGGGTTTTTTTTCAATCTATATAATTTATGCCCACTTGATTCCCCTGAGCTCAAACTTTTTGTTTTATTTCTTAAAATAATAATTTCAAATGGATATTCATACATACATATCCACGAAAACACATACACACATGTATGTGTATTTATATATAATTGGCAACAGACTGTATTGTTACAAATACATACACATATACACGTGTGTTAGTGCATCCATTTCAATGACGAATGTTTGAATTCTACCTAAAGATGTTTGTGGCAATTGCGTTCAGCTGGGAAGCTTTACAGTAGTTTACAGAATGTCTGATACCTAATTTTCACCAACTATACGGTAATTTGTGTATAATCAGTCATGTGCTAATTTGTACCTATGGCACTGTCAGCAACTGAACAGGACTTAGATGTGTTTCATGAACATATTTCCCCCCATTTTTTGAAGATAACCTTTTTTTCTGTAATTGACATTTCCTAACATACTCATTTTCCCCACCCCCAACAAAGAAATATAGTTTTAAGCAAAACCAGACAACAGAGGAACCACATCTTGACGATGTAAGCAGCATTCCATATCTCCCTGCCCCACAAACATATATTAAGGAATGTATGTTTCTTCTGCTTTTTTCTGGGCCCAAGATTGCTCATTGCAATTAATTAGAGTTCCTAAACTTCTTTTAACCTTAAGTGTTTAAATGAGCCATACCGCCAAAATGAAAAATCAACTTGGTCTTGGATTAACCGATTCCTTTAGTTTAGCGGAAGTCCAACAGAGCCAGACGTGCAGAGCCAGGACAACCTGGACTCAGGTCTTCCTCCATATAGCGTACTAGCTATATTACCCTGGGCAAATCACTTACACGTCATTCAGTTCCCTCGTCAGTTCTTCTAATCCTATAAAAATTGCAGATTAGTTGTAATCTGAGTTGGCAGAGGAAATGTCCTTACTGGTAGCTTTCTCCACTGATGAACTTATGAGTCCAAACGCCTTTTCCTCTTAAACCCACCCCCAACAGAGAGTTCCGATATTACGGAGATCTCTGTGGTGTAATTTCAGAAGCACCAAATTTGAAATCAGAAGGCTTTGTTCATATCCTAGCTCTGCCTCTAATTTCCTGTGTCACTTGACTTATCTGAGGTTCAGTTGCTTCGTTTTTTACAGTGAGGGCCTTAGACTCGACTTCCAAGGTTCAATCCAAATCCTAGGATTCTGTGATCCTGTATACCATGGAGAAGAGTATATATGTACGGGATCAGCTCTTCTGGAAAGCATGCTATTTGACCCTGCAATGCCACTACTAGGTCTAATTACCAAAGAGATTAAAAAGGGGAGGAAGAACCAATAGGTGAAAAACCTTTCTCGCCACCCATTTTGTGGCAGTAAAGACTTGGAATATGAGGGGTTGCCCATCCAGAAGTTATGGCGTGTCCATGTCATGGAATAGTATTGATGCTGTAAGGAAGGATGAAGGGGATAGTTTCAGAGAAAGCCAAGAAGACTTGTTTTATAAACTTATGCAAAGTGCAATGAGTAGAACTAGGAGAACGATTTTTATATGATAACCACAGTGTTTTGAAGACAAACAACTTAGGCTTAGGCACACTGATTAACATAATGATCAATCACAATTCCAGGGGACTTGTGATGAAAAAGAGAGGGAGGTGACAGACTCAGTGTACAGACTGAGCTGTATTTTTTTCTTGTGGCCCATACCAACGTGGGAATTTGTTTTGCTCGACTATACATGCCAGTGTTCTAAGAGGTTGGGGAGTTTTTTTGCTTTTTCAGCGGGGGAGGCAGGAGGAAGAAAATGCAGACCTGAAACAAAATAAAATTAATTTTTTTAAAAGAGGGGAAAAAGGATTATATGTATACAGTGCGGGGAGGGCCTAAGCTGGAAGATGAAATGGCATTGATGATTATTTTTGGTCCTTCCGATCTAAAGGCTGAATAACATAACATGCAAAGAACTTCCATGCTTTAATAAAGAGCTTTAATAGTAAGAGGAAGTAACTAGTTCAGCCTGCAAGAGCTTTTGGGAAACAACCAGAATAGGAAAACAAAGTAGGTTTTAATTTTTTAGTTGCATTAAGTGATTGTATTTGAGTAAGGCTTTCTGATCTGATCAGTATGGGTATTTGCACCTCCAGTGGTGCAAATGTCACCTCTTCTTTACCTGTGTGATCCTTATACATGACCTCTCATAAATCCTCCTCTGAGATCCCACCCAACCTAATAGAGGTCATCTTCAAGTTCCTAGGACCATATTGGGATTATGTATATAGTGTTGATGCCTTCCACAGTAATACTCCTTTCCTCACCTCTAAAACTTGCTTCCTTGAAGAAACTGCTCCCAAGTCCCTATACAGAAACCATGCACTCTTACCCAGCTTACCTAGAGCCTCATTCATGTTTATCTTACCTATAATTCTTAACCAACTTAGTTTTCTGAATTTCTGACCCATAACAAACTAGTATAAAGGCAGTGTTCGGTCTGTTAGATGCAGGCGCAGTGAAAGCAGATGTGACATTGGACAGTGTGACTTGGAGGAGAAATACTCAGTAGCCAACATAACTGTATTATTTAATAGTAAGTAATAGATACTCATATCTAGAAAATAGTCAGTTATTTTCAGTATTCTACATTTAAGAAGATAGAGAAAAACGTAATACGTTTTGAAAAAATTCTTAGAAATGAATTACAATTAGCTAAAAAAGTTTAAGATGTTTTGGTACTGGAAGGGGTGAGATCCAGTTATCTCAGAAATGTCTTTGCCTAGAATCCTTATAGTTGTAGATATGTAGATTTCCGTTTGTTTAACAGGAAGGATGAGTGCCTTTTAACGATTCTCTTTAACAAACACTTTAGGTGACAGATTTCGCAGTATAATAGATGATGCATGGTGGTTTGGAACTGTGGAGAGTCAACAGCCTTTCCAACCAGAGTATCCCGACAGTTCCTTCCAGTGTTACAGTGTTCAGTAAGTATGGTAATTACAGTGGCTTTTCATCCACATTTCGTGCCACAGTGTATAAATACATGGGCTTTATACACCTCCTTGAGTATTTTTTTATCTGAGAATATTAAACCATTATTTAACCACCTAATGGTTGGTCCATTGTGTAAAGCAAGGGACTGTAGCTTGAACTGTTTCTTCCTTCCTCATGTTTTTCTCTTTTATGTTTTTATCTATATTAGACAAGGATTCTTTTCTTTCTAAGACCATCTTGCTCAAATGTCATCATGTGATTTGATGTAATTGATGAAAGTAGCAAGAAACATGCAGCTAACATTTTATTTAATTTTGTGGAACACACTGCAGCTGTTTCCTTCTTAGTTTTTCTAATAATTTTATTTCCAACAAATCTTGAATGATTTCCAGTCATTTAACAGAGCTTGATTTGGGGGTTCACTCTTTACAGATTGGAAAAGAAGATATTCCTGACTTTTTGGTTCATACTAAAGACAGCAGAGGAATTTAATTCACAGAATTAAGAAATTTACAAAATGGACACCTTTTTTTCTTAAAAGCACGATTCCCAAAGTGGCCATTTCTTTCAGTTCTTCTTGACTCAGTATTAGATGTAAGTTTGGGTTGAAGAGGTGATAAGTTCAGTAGACTGAACCTCGTAGTTGAAGGTCACTGTCAGTAGCCGATGTTTCTTTCTTAAGGGGTGATCTCACACATAAGATTGCATTGTACTTTTTCAAATAACACACAGAAGGTTCTCTCTTACGTCTATAAAAACAAGGGCATGTAAATTTGATTTCTGTCTTATTGCTTTTTAATAGTTGGGACAATAACGAGAGAGAAAAGATGAGCCCCTGGGACATGGAACCAATTCCAGAAGGAAGTAAATATCCTTTTGAAAATTCATTCTCCTTCTGGAAGTAACATGGCAGTCCCCAGAGATCACAAGTTAATTGTTTGTGATTTATTCTTTCCACAAGCTGCCTTGCCAGAAGAAGTCGGTGCTGGTGTCCCTGTATCTCAGGAAGAACTGACTGCTCTCCTCTACAGGCCTCAAGAAGGAGAATGGGGGGCTCATTCTCGAGATGAGGAGTGTGAACGCATCATTCAGGGCATCGACCATCTTCTTACCCTGGGTACGACGGACCTATGAGACCGAGGGAACTCCTTTCTACTCCGTAGAATGGAATCCAATGTCACAGTTTGCCATATTCAATCACACATTGCTTTTTCTAGGGAGGAAGCTGATTTTTGTTTTAACATTAGTGCTTTTAAGTGCCTGGCCACAGTGATGACTGCTGTGCTTTTTTCTGATGTTCTCTGGGGCCGTTTGTCTTCCCCGTGTCATTGTGGCTGGCAATAAGGAGATAGCTCTCCCTGGATTTCTGCCCCTTGACTGTTACTTCTGGTTCAGGCGGGTTCATTGGGAGAGAGATTGGATAAGTCATTTCTTTTATTTGCATGCTTTGCTAAATGTCATAAAGCATATGACTAATGAAACATGGAGTTTGCCCACAAAACATCTACTGAGTTCTTTTAAATATGATGTTGAAACCAAATTTCATAGTTTCCCTTTTGATCTTTTTTTTTTTTTTTTTTTTGCTGTTCTCCACCAAATTATTGTATTGAAGTTTACATCAGGATAGGTAGATTTTATTTCTTCTAAGCTTATACTTCTACAAAGTGAAAGTAATATCAACTAATTGTCCCATGATGTAGTCACCATCGTTTTTCAGGGCATAACTGTATCATACCCTCTTCTTGTAAGCATTCATGAGAAATGGATCTCATTTGTTTAAAAGAAATGTCATTTGGTTTTTTAACATTTCCTTGTTTGATCTTGATTCTTTGTAGATTTTGCTAGCCCTTTTGCTGTTCCCGTGGACCTTAGTGCCTACCCCTTGTATTGCACTGTAGTTGCTTATCCAACCGACCTCAACACAATTAAGCGGAGACTTGAAAACCGATTTTATAGGTTAGTTGAGTCCTTATAATTTTTGTAGAAAATACAAAACATTGGTCATGTGTTTCTTTTGAGCTAGTTTGATACAATAATGTCTGCATTGTTATAGTACCAAGTAAGGAATTGTGTGAAATGACTCATCACAATTTCATCCAGTTAACATAGACCCCTGATTCCCATAATCAAAAAAAAAACCCATGATGTATTATTATGTGTTTTAAAAGTAACCACTAGAAGAGCTGTTGCTTCTCAAACCATGTTCTTGGCATTCTTTTCTCTTTCTTTTCCTACTACTTGAGAAATTTGTCTTCCCCTTCCCCATCTTCTCCACCTCCCTCGTATCCCTCTAAATCACTTTTTACCCAGGACACATTAATTTCATTTTTATCCCAAGTTTTGGCAGGCAGGCTAGGATTCTTGTACCCTAGTCATGTGTCTTAGGTTCTATGCCTACACAATCTCTTCACTGTCTTTCTATTTGCATGTCAACCATGCACATTGATTTGATCACCTTTCATGTGTTATGCAAAGTGTTATTTCAAGTTTTTTTTATCTCTAGAATATCAGCATACTTGTACTTATTCTTGGCAACTGACAGATAAGTTTTCCTTTATTCAGAAGAATATCAGCATTGATGTGGGAGGTACGATACATTGAACATAATGCCAGGACTTTCAATGAGCCCGACAGTCCTATAGTTAAAGCAGCCAAAGTTGTAACTGATGTTTTACTTCGCTTTATTGGGTAAGAGAATAATTTGATTTTTCATGGGGACAAACTTTTTTAATTTTAAAAGTTGTCACATGAGTCAAATTTTGGTTTGCCCTCCTGTTTTGCAGGGATCAGAGCTGTACTGATATTCTGTCTACGTATAATAAAGTTAAGGCAGAAGATTTAATAAGTACTGAGGAAGATGGGGACCAGGATGTTAGCAATGAGGTAAGAATGTCAAAAAAAGTGAATGATTCTTAACGTTGCTTAAAATGGATGTGTTTTAGTTGGCTGTGAGCAATTTGTTTGATTAACACCTGCATCCTTTTAAAATTAAAACTCTCACCTCTATTTTGGCAGGACATTCCAAAGTTACTAGGGTTCAAAGACAGGTCAGCTGTTAACCTATTATGACTTAAGAGGTTTCAGTAATGAACAATCAGCATTTCAGCTTTTAGCCTTTTGAAAAGAATGCATTTAACACTTCTTAACATTTATTTGATGGAACGCTGACTAACATAATTGAAATTTGTATGAATTTTATTACTTGTTGGATAGTAGGTGTAAGCTTAGAGTATTTTGACCTCAGTTTTGAGAGATTTGACTTGTTTCATGCGATGTCTTCATTTGCCCCAGTGTATATAGCTTACGCTATTCTTGGAAAATATAGGAGGCTGAAAAATGTAATTATGTATTAGCGGAGTGAGTTAGATATTATTGCTCATAGAATTAGGAAAACACAGAAAATTCCATTTGGTTTTTTTATTACCATGAAACACACAAATAATTATCCTATTCATAATCTTGTGTTTTGTTTTTCACCTAGCACTTGGCTCACTATTGGGATATAGCAACAGTTCTCTTGCAGCTAACATGGCACAGAATTTAACTCCCAAATTAATTAGGATAAATCCGATTCAACAGCCCATCTTTATGAGAAGGGATTTATGCTGGTTTCAGTTGATTTATGGCTTGGTTTTGCAATACTAGCACTGAGGGAGGTTGTTTATTTCCATCCTCCGGGGGCATTTGGCCTGCATTTTGAGGAGCTGTCTCCATGGGCATGTACTGCCCTAAGTTAAGCTTTTTTGTTGTAGAAATAGCTTCATTTCCTATAGCACATCCTCAAATTGTAGCACATACTTCAGCACTTTCATGTTTTGGGGTAGGATTTTTTGTGTCTTTTTTCTTTTTTAATGAAAATTGACTTCTTAAAGCATTGAGATCAGTCAGTCACTAATTATGTGTATGTATGTCTACATGCACGTACATATAATAATGCAAATGTTTCGCTTATTTGCTCTTTTTGACCAGCTAGCAAGCAGTCATTGCTAATGATTCTCCCTGTTGTTGCCTCTTAGATTGGAGGAGAAGAGGAGGAGAACGAAGGGGGTGGGGGGGCGTGGAGAAAGCCTTTTTTCTCAGCACCCCCTGAAGCTTTTCTTTTGTTGCTTGTCACCAAGGAAGGAACCTTTGAGGACTGTTTTGGCTGTTGCAGATTTATAATTATTGAAGTAGTTTTTAAAATTTTCAGTATAATGTTTTTATTTTCTCAAATTCTAGGTGGTGGAAGTGCCAGATTTAGATTCCGATGGTCCTGGAACATCCTCTGGAATAACAGTAAGTAAAGGAACTAAATGCTGAGAAGGAAATGCTTTTTTCCCAGATTTTCCACCCTAGTAAATGCATAACTTTCTTTAAGTTGCATTTTCCCTTGGAAAGCTGAGGGAATTCATGAAAAGGATACTGTAAAGTGAAATTGGTATGTCCCTACAATGGATTGATTCAGTAAAAAGAGTAAATGTTGTTCTAAGGGTTAGAAGGGAAAACTTGAGTTGCCTGGGTGTATGGGGGCCTCACAAGTGTGCTTCTTTACCTTTTGCAGTTTCCAAAGGTCAGAATGTTTCTTAGCTTAGAATTTCCATGAAGTGTATTCTTAAAGCAGTAAACCTACTTAAACTCCGTTTTCAGAGGACAACATGGTAATATATATTAGGCTTACTAACTGTTTGGATATTAATAAAAAACAAGGAAAATAATTTCTTTTTAAATGAAGATCATTTTACAGAAAGTTTTTGAGTACCTAGAATGTAGAGATCCCTGTTATTGACTATGATCTTAGGTTTTAAATGCAGTTTCCCATGAAACTTCTAGGTAAGATGCCCACCCAAAACTTCCATCCAAGCAACTCCTGTTGAATGGGTAAAACAATGTAAAGAACTTTTGAGCCTAATTTATGAACGGGAAGACTCCGAGCCTTTTCGACAACCAGTCGATCAGTTGTCTTACCCGGTGAGTTGTGTGCTTCCTTCAGTGAGAACCAGCGTTGTCTCACTCTCCATACAGCACGTTTCAGTTCGACCTTGATAATGTCACTGACTTGTGCAATGCCTGTGCATGCCACGTCTGAAAATTACACTCTGCACCTTTGAGACTCAAATCTTTCTGTGCTTCTTTTCTGTTTTCTACCTTGATTATCTGTTTTTCTTTTATAGGTTTTTTCTTAATATTTTTTTTTAATTGCAGTAGAGTTCAGCACATTGTGAACATTCAGTGAATAAGAGCACAGACTGTTCCACTTCTGCTTAAGTCCTCACTGGATCTTTTTACTTAATATTGATCCCTAACACATGGTCAATATGACAATACCACTTTTCATTTTAAGCAGAGAGAGAGAATTGAGGAAAAGATCATTAGAAGTTATTCTAATGTTATTTGTATTGGATTTTTTTAAAACACAGTCTGGTGAAGTCTGTGGACCCCTTCTCAGAATAATGTTTCTAAATGCATAAAACAATATGTAAGATCCACAAAGTTAACTAGTTATTTTGAAATAGTAAAATATTTTAAAGAGCAAATTTGTGGACCTCCCCTGTCTGAGAACCTCTCCATCAGACCCACCCTTGAACTTGTCACTCCCAAGATGTCTTCCTCTATCCATTAATTCTTTCTTGGAAAAAAAAAAAAAAAAACATTTCAGCTCAGGGAAGGCATTTTCAAACAGAAACTGATAAATATCTTCCAAATCTTTGACTTTTTTTTTTTTTTTTTGAAGGATAACATTTTATCTTTTTCTGGGATAATATCAAAGAATATTAGGAAGGGAAAGTTCAGGGTTGTTTGTAAATACTAAAATGACAGTCTTATTTGGAAACTCCTGCGTTATTGGCGTTTCATATTTTCATAATGGAAATCTGGCTGCACAGCATGTGCTCTCCAAGGGAAGGCAACAGCAAGGAAGAAGATTGCTGAAATCCATTGGTCTAGCGTTTGGATCAGAGGAATTTCTTCTCCCTATGGCACAGGCTCAGTAGCCACTTAAACAAGCTTTTAAAATGATTTTTTTCCATATTACAGTGAACCTTCTTATAATTTGACAAAATTATCCAACAGCTTTTCTGTCCTTTTCCTTTCTTCGCCTTTAAAAAAAATTACACAGAAAAGGTTGCAAGCCATTTTTTCTAATGGATTTTTACTTTAAAGTTTCTCTTTTCCATTTCGACAAAGGCATATGTTTGTTTAGAAGAGCTGAGGTCGGACTGGTACAGCATTTTCCTGCCCAGGACCTTCCTAAATAAGCTCTGGATTATGATTTGATGTCATCAAATTTTGACAGCCTTTTTCTCCATTGGTTTTGGACTTTGAATTGATTGCCTTAAAAGACATTCTGAATAGAAATTTACTGTTTTTAAAATTACTTAAACAAAAGATGCATTTGGAACCCTTTTAGTCCCTCATTTGAAGGTAAGAGAGGGACCAAGTCAAGGAGTTTTTTTTTTTTAAGAGGATTTTTTTTTTCTTCCTGTTCTTTGATTTATTCTTTGCAGAGAATATGGTGGTTTATTATTTCATAATTCTGCATGTATTGGGAGAAATTTAATTTTGAGACTTTTTCACTAAAGGTTTTTTACCTTGGCCTTTGTTAGTAGATAGGTCTAATTATTTCTACTAGGATGAGAGGTCAGAGTGGAACAATAAGAGAATGTTTTCCTTAAAAACATTGATTGAATTCTGAATCATTGTGATGACCTTTGTAGACAGTAGGACTTTCTGATAGAGGGTGGAATCCTGAAAATGTTTAGTTATATTATTCCATGGCATAGGAGAGAAGCTTTTCGGGGTGGGGAGGGTGGTTGTTAGAGAACTTTCCTACCTTTCTTTGCACTGGAGACTCTTCAGGCCTAGAGACAAGGGACTTCATTAATGATCTGTCTTCTCTGTTATATCCTTGCACAGCCATTTGCATCTGAAGAAGGGGAATAGGAGCTAAGGTCCCTCTTTACTTTATTTCTACTTCTAGGAGCTTTAGAGGCATCAGAGATCTCTCCTTTGTGATATATTCATTTTGGTTTTGGGTGGTTTGGGTGGTACTTTCTAAAGCATAATGGAGATTATATAGTATCTAGTTATGCTAAACAAACCTCTCTCTTCATGTGTATTGTTGAACACTGTTGCCAAGATTTAGATATGATAACATACATTAATACTTTTAGGATTATCAAGATATTATAGACACTCCTATGGACTTCAGCACTGTGAAAGAAACTTTGGAAGCAGGAAACTATGCCAGTCCTTTGGAATTTTATAAGGATGTTCGCCTAATATTCACCAACTCAAAAGCTTATACTCCTAATAAAAAGTCAAGGGTATGAGTATTCTTCATGGAATAATTATTTTAACCATTTTGTTAAAAAAGAAATTCCTTGAACCTCATCTAGGCAAACCAGTCATTTGTATTAAACAGTTGTCTTTGATCACTTTTTAAACAGTTAAACAAGGTGCTGCTATGAATATAATAGTTTAGTCACTTGAAATATCTTTACTAAAACCTGGGTTAATAAGCATGCATGTTATATACCAAGGTATTTTTGCATATAAACAAAACTGAATTAACTTGTCTTCCTTTCACTTGCCTCCTATTCATGTTGTACCTTTTACCTCAGTCTATCAGAGAAAAGTCAAGACGATAGTAAGTAGTAAGAGGAAAATTAGGCAAGTGCTAATTTTTTGGTAACAAAATTGGGAGAAAAGTGGTTGGTATTGTGGAGATGGCATGAATGAAATATTCGAATGAATTGTAGACTTCTTTTTGTTATCCTCATTTCCATAGTTGGGTGTGATCACTCTTTGGAACTTTTAACATTTTAACTGCATTGAACATTTCCCCGATACTCTCTCCAAAATGAAACTTAGTGGGGGCAAAATAGGCAGTTTTTATATACTCTCCACTGGTACCACGTTTAAGTTGAGTTAATTTTCAACAATGCTTTTTCTCACCAAATGGTCATATATAAATGTGTTCTACTGTAGTTAATTCATCATTTCGGTGAGTGAAATTTCACGACTGTCGAATATGTGTGTGTGTGTGTGTGTGTGTGTGTGTGTGTGTGTGTGTATACACACACACACATATATATATATAAACTTTGTTTGGAATGATGATGTAGATGTTTCTGTGCATTTTCATAGTCTATTTTTTAATAGAACTAAGTTATGTTTCCTGGTTTCAGATCTACAGCATGACTCTTCGCTTATCTGCCTTATTTGAAAATCATATTAAAAATATAACCTCTGATTATAAATCTACCATCCAGTGTCAGAAGAGGAAACGCCCCCCGTACAGAAAACGTCTCCGGAGCAGCAGTAGTTCACCAAATAGTAGCAGAGCATCAAGGTAACTGTGCTCAATTGTTTTTTCCATATTATAAATGAAATGAACCTTTTTGTAATTTGACCAACCTCTCCAACAATTTTGGCATCCTTTACCCCTTCTTTGCCAGTTTTTTCATTGTCTCTTCCCCCCATGTGTTCACAATAGGTTCTGTCATAATCGTTATCATCATCATGATGTTACATTATTATTATTGTTATCATCGTTTTGGAAGGTTAATGGGAAACTAGTTTGTTTGAGGGGTAAAAGGAGCATTGTAAATGATTCTGGGATTCCGACTTCTCTAGTGGTTCCTTTGGTGTTTGGTCTATTTGGTAAACTACTGACTTGGGAGTTAGGAGACCTGGAGTCTCAGTTGATCTCTTTATCAGTGTGTCACCATGAGCAAATCAATGGCCATGCCTTTCCCATTCTATCTCACATATTTATTGTGATAATGAAATAGATAAACTCTAGGAGAAGACTGAGTTTAAAGGTGACAAGCCAAAAGTGAGGGAATAATACATTAGGAATGCCTAGAGGGCAGTGCAGAAGAGGCCTGGGTGGACCATAGGCCTATAATGTTCAGTACCAATTTCACCTGCAATTATAGTTACTTCTGTGCTCATCCTTAACATGCAAGGAGAATTTGAACATGAAAAGGTCCAACGTTAAGAGGGAGATTGTGGTGGCACAGATAGCTGACTTTGAAGCCAAGAATTCCTCTCTCTGCCCCATTCTGCCAGTGTGACTGCCTACTCAGCGTTCCAAACCAGAGGTGTCGAACTGTGGTTTGAGAAAAGTTGAACAAAATTAGAAAAATACAATATTGCATAAATAATGCTCATGTAATTTTTGAAGTTAACATGCAGCTGCAGAACTCAGTTTTTCATGTGAGTTTGACACCAGTGCTCCAGATGACTTTCTAAGACTAAGTTGCAGAGAAGGTGCCTACTTGAATTTGTGGGGGGGTGTTCCCTCACCTGAGAGTTCCTTATACTGATGAAATCACAAGTCCAGGTCCTTTCCCTAGTCCCTGCTTTCATACCAAGTACAAAGAGTTACTCATCTGCAAATAAACAAGCAATTATTTAAGAATCTTTAGTCAGTAGTTTAATAGGTTTGCATTTGTGGTATAATCGTGGTGACTGCCTCTTAAGTAGGTAGGGCTATTGCATTTTACCCTGGGAAGGTTTAGGCCATTTTTCCAGCCAAAATATACATTGTACATTTGTTTGGGGGTGAAGATGACATCCTTTGTAATTGATTATTTTCAATTAACAAAAATCCACCTCACCCTTCAACCTGATTTTGTGATCAATGCTGACCATTTCTTATCTGTGGTCCTCTCTGTCCTTTGTTTGGTCAGGAACTCTTTCCCCTATCCTTATTTCTGAAAGGTCATTTCCTTGTTGCTCCTTTTATTTTTTTTAATTTTTATTTATTTATTTATGTATTTTTTTTGGTGAGGCAATACAGATTAAGTGACTTGCCCAGGGTCACACAGCTATAGTGAGTGTCAAGTGTCTGAGGTCAGATTTGAACTCAGGTCCTCCTGACTTAAGGGCCAGTGCTCTATCTACTGTGCCACCTAGCTGCCCCTATTTTTTTTTTCTATGATGTCATTCTGTTTATGTCTAAATCATGGAAATGTTTGGTGTACTCTTAGGTTCTGCCAGAGTGCTTTCCAGTTTTCTCAGCAATTTTTGTCAAATAGGGAGTTCTTAGTGCAATATATGGGATCTATAGGTTTATTAACCACTAGGCTACCAGGTTCATTTGCTTCTCTATGTCTTTTTTACCCATTTACTACTTTGTAGTGTAATTTAAGATCTGGTACTGGTAGGTAGGCCCCCTTTGTACTTTTTTTTTTCTCCATTATTTTCCTTGAGATTCTGTTTTTATTCCTCCAGGTCTGTTTCATTATTTTTTTTTATAGCTCTTAGTAACCCTTTGGTTATGTGATTGGTATAGGGCTGAGTAACTAGATTAATTTAGGCCATATGGTCATCATTTATTATATTGACTTGGTCTCCCCCAAGCAGTTAATGTCTCCAATTACTTAGGTCTGTCTTTATTTCTGTTTTGTCATAAATAGCTAACATTTACATTATAACACATCGAGATTAGCAAAGCTCTTTATAAATTTCATTTCATTTTATCCTTAAAACAGCCTTGGGAGGTAGGTATAATTATTATCCTCATCTTACCTATGAAGAAACGGAAATAGACAGGTTAAGTGACTTGCCCAGGGCCACACAACTAGGAAGTCTCTGTCTGAAGTCAGATTTTAATTCAGGTCTTCCTGACTCCAGGTGAAGTGTTCTGTCCACCATGCCATCTTGCTGCCTCTGTTATACTCATGTAGTTCTTGTGTATGTCTTTGCATGTAGATTCACAAGTGTTTTATCCATTCTGTAGTTATTTTAAATGGAATTTTTCTGTTTCTCTTCCTGCTGCTTTTTCTTGATAATATATAGAATTTTCCATCCTGCAAATTAGCTAAAGTTATTAATTCAGTTAGTTTTTAGTTAGTTTAGAATCTCGGGTTCTAGTAAACCATCTTATCCTCTGCAGAAAGCAATATCATTTTATTTCCTGTTTGCCTGTGTTTCTTCCCTCACTTTCTTTTTCTGGTAACTATAGCATTTCAAGCACTACATCAAATAGCAATGGTATTAATGGGTGTCCTGATCTTGATGGGAAAGCCTCTACATTTATTTCTGTTGCATGTAATTCTGGCTTTTAGTTTTAAGATGGATACTACTTATGTTAAGGAAAGATCCATTTTTTGCCATCCTATCTATTATTTTTCACAGGAATGGGTGTTGTATCTTGTCAAAAGCTTTTTTCCCCCCGTATATTAATATAATAGGATTTTTGTTCCTGTTATTAATATGATCTATTGTGTTCATGGCTTTACACAGTGCCTGGCACATAGTAAACATTTAATAAATGCTTGTTTCCTTTTCTTCCTTCTTTCCTCTTCTCAGTATTAAACCGACCCTGAATTCCTGGTATAAATCCAGTCTGGTCATTATGTATAATCTTTGTGATATGTTGCTATAGCAACCTTCTTAGTATTTCATTTAAAATTTTTGCATCAGTATTCATTATGGATATTTGTCTAGCGTTTTCTTTCTCTGTTTTGATTCTTCTTGATTTAGGTACCAAGCCATTTTTTTTTGTTTTGTTTTGTTTTTGTATTTCTTCCTAAAATAATTTTTTAAAAATCTTTTTTAAAAACTGGATAATGTTTTAGCTATCTCCCTCCCCCCCAAAAAAAGCAAACACCAGCTTCTAATTTATTAATCAGTAGTATTTTTGCTTTCAGTTTTGTTAAGCTCTTTGATCTTCAAGATTGCTATTTTGATAATTAATTGGGGTTTTTTAATTTGTTGGTTTTTCTAGGGGTTTTTTTTGTTTTGTTTTTTTGTAGTTGCTTGACCAATTTGTTAATCTGTTTGTTCTCTTTTGTATTGATGAAAGCATTAAGAGATAGAAATTTTCCCCTAAGGACTGCTTTGACCATATCCCAACAATTTTTGTTGCATTGTCATTATCTAACATTTCTGCTTTTCTCCAGTTGTTTGTGAGGTTTTTATGCCCTAACACAGTTGCTTTTTATAAAGGTTCCATGCAATCAGCTAAGCCATGTATACTCGTTTTTATTCCAGTGCAGTAATGACCAGAGTACTATCACATCTGCCTTTTATAAAATTCTGTTCAGGTCCTTAACTTTTTGGGGGGCGATGGGGGAATTAATCTAAGTCTAAAAAGCACAAGTTAAAGTCTGTTTTCTTTATTGCCTTGTCTGAGATCATGATTGTACCTTTGCCTTTTTAAAAATTTTAGCTGAAATATGAGATTTTCTTCCAGTCTCTTACTTTTAACTCTTTGTGCGTCTTTGTTTCAAGTAAACAACATACTGTTGCATTCTGCTTTCTGATCTTTTCTGTTCTTCTCTTCCTTTTTATGGGTGAGGTCATCTCATTCATAGTTAGGATTATGAAATACGTATTTCCCTTCATTCTCTTCTTTTATTTCCTTTTTCTTTATTTTATGTCACCTCTTTATAAAGAAGGTAGTGATTGCAATGTATATGCAGTGCCAGAGCTTTTTCTTCAGCCTGCTTCTGCCCTCTTCACTTTCCTTCATCCAGAGCCCACTCACATGTTTTTATTCTTTATTTCCTTTTAACACCCCCCCAACACACACACACACACACACACACACACACACACGATCCATTCTCCATAGATAGTTTTGCTTGGAACTAATCCCTCCCTTAATTTTCTTATTTCTCCCTGTTGACTGAAATGTATTTCTGCATCCAACTGTGGATCTATGTGTGTTCGTCCCTCCTCTGATCCACTCAAGTGTCACCTCTTCCCCTGCCCCTTACTTATACTCTTCCATTTGCATACCCCAATTATTTGAGATAATTTTCCAATTCTTCTTTTTTCTTCTCCCATGTATTCCTTTCCCCCTCCCTTTCCTACTTTCTTTTAAGATCATTAAAACATGGAAAAATTAGCCTCCCTCTACAACCCTTGATGAAATTAGGGTTCTGAGGGGACAAATGTATTATCTTCCCATATTCATATGTTAACCATTAATCATTGTTTAGTCTCTTATGATTGATAGTTCATATTTCAAAACTTCTACTCAGCTCAAGTTTTGTTTTTATCAGCCATGGCTAGAAACCCTCCATTTTATCAAAGATCCATTTTCCCCCCTGTAGGATTATATTTGGGCCTTCCAGGTAAGTAATTTTTGGTCATAAGCCTCTATCGTTTGCCTTCTAGAATATTGTATTCTAAGCTTTCTTCTCCCTTATAATGGTTGCTGCTAAATCACATGTGATCCTGACTCTGGTTCCTTGGTACTTCAATTTTTTCTTTCTGGATGCCTGGAATAATTTTTCTTTGACCTATTCCAGGTCGGAGTTTTTGCCTATGATGTACCTAGAAATTTTCATTGTATGGCTTATTTCAGGAAGTGACTGATTCTTGTGAATTGTGGATTCTTTATGTTTCCACTTTGCCCTCTGGTTCGAAGAGATCTGGACAATTTCCTTTTAAGATTTCTTTTTGGTTTTTTTGTTATGTTTTATTTTTTTCAAGGAGCAAATAGCCACCTTCTCTCCCTCCCCAACCCTCTAGTTGAGAACAGAACGAAAACAAAATCCGTGTTAAAACGTGTAGTAAAGCAAAAAGAAAAATTCAGCATTGGCCATGTCCAAAAAATATTTATGTTTCATTCTGCATTCTGAGTCCTTCATCTTTCTGTCAGGAGGGTGGGGAGCATGTTTCATCATTAATCCCCTGGAATCGTGATTGGACATTATGCTGTTCAGAGTTCCTTAGTCTTGTAAAGTTTTTCATCTTTACAATATTGATGTATCTGCTGTTTACTTCACTCTGCATCAGTTCATACAAGTCTTTGCGAGTCTGTCTGAAATCATCTCCTCCTCATTTCTTACAGCACAGTAATATTTCATCACATTTATGTACCACAGCTTGCTCAGCTGTTCCCCAATTTATGCACACCCCCTCAGATTCTTCTTCTTTGCCATTTCAAAAAGAATTATTGATGTTTTTGTACATTCTTAGATTTTGTTTTGCTTAGTACTAATCTTTATCCCCCCCAAAACTTCCCTTCCCCCTGTCCCTTTCCCTTAGTAACTAACTCTTTCTGTCTGTCTCCCTCCCTGTATCTGTGTGAATATTCTTCTCTCCTTTGACCAGTTCAAATGAAAGTGATGTTGAAATTATCAGCTGTCCCCCCACCCACTTCCTTCTCCTCGTTTTTCTAGATACTTCTACATCTTGCTTATGAGAGATAATTTTCCTTAACTTTCCTTCACCCCAGCCTTCCAAGTGTAGTCCTCTTCCCCTCTCTTTCTAGTCTTCTCTTAAGGTCATTAAGACATAACAGAACCACTTATAGGCCTTATCTAATTAGACTCTATGACCCCTGATAAGGATAGGGTTTAGAGGAGAAACATATATATATATATATCATATCCCCTATATTTGAATATAAGCAGTTCATCCATGTTTATTCCATTATGATTGTTCATTCGTGTTTATCTTTTTATGTTTTCTCTCTACTCCTGTGTTTGAACCTCACATTTTCTATATAGCTATGGTCTTTTCATCAGGAATACTTGGAAGTTCTTGGTTTCATTAAAGGTCCATTCCCCACCCCCACCCCCGGGATTATATTATTTTAGCTGGGTAAATCATTCTTGACTGTAACCCTCTTATCTTTTACAAACCTCTGGAACATCATATTCCAAGCTCTGCACTGGTTCATAGTGGTGGCTGCTAAATTGTGTGTGGTCCTCACTGTGACTCCTCAGTACTTGACTTATCTTTCTGTCTGCTTGCAGTGTTGTTTCTTTGACCTAGAAGCTCTAGATTTGGGCTATAATGTTCGAGGAGATGTTCTTGGGGGTTTTCATTTTGGAGTTTCTTGCAGTAGGTGACTAGTGGATTCTTTCTATGTCCATTTGCCCTCTAGTTCTAAGAGGTATGGACAGTTTTATGATTTCTTTACAGTATGACATTTAGGGTTTTTTTTTGGCCGTGGCTTTCAGGTAGTCCTATGATTCTGAAATTTTTTTCTTCTTGATGTTTTCTGGCTCAGTTGTCTTCACCCAGTCACATTTTCTTCTATTTTTTTTTCAGTCCTTTGACTTTGTTTTGATATTTCTTATCTCATGCAACCCTTGGCTTCTATTTGGTCTCTTCTACTTTTTAAGGAGTTTGTTGCCTGCAGGATTTATACCTCTTTTGCCAAAATATTAGTTCCTTTTTCAATTCTTTCTTGCATAGCACTCATTTTTTCCTTACTTTTTCCTCTAACAGTCTCTTTTCGTTTGCTTAAAAAAAAAGCTACTTAGCTGTTTTTGTTTAAAAACAGTAACAAAATGAAACAAGTAACAAAATGAAAACTCTTTTTAAACAAATTCTTTGGCTGGTTAAAGGTGCAGCGGGTGGAGCACTGGGTCTGGAGTCACAAAATTTTCCTCTCTTGGTAATAATAGTAATAAAAATAATATAGCACCTCATATGTGTCAGGCATTGTGCTAAGCCAGGGGTAGAGAACCTGTGGCCTTGAAGCCACATATGGCCCTCTATGTCCTTAAACGTTGCGCTTTGACTAAGTCCAAACTTCACAGAACAAATCCCCTTAATAAAAGGATCTGTTCTGTAAAACTTGAACTCAGTCAGAAAGGCCCCACCCAGGGACCTAAAAGGCCACAAGTGACCTCGAGGCTGCAGGTTCCCCACCCCTGTGCTAAGCACTTTACAGATATTACATCATTCAATGTCTCAACCACCCTGAGAGGTAGCTGCTGTTATTATTTCCCTTTTACAGGTAAGGGAACTAAGACAGGTTTAATGACTTTCCCAGGGTCATGCAGCTAGTAGGTGTCTGAGGTTGAATTTGAACTCAGATCTTCCTGGCTCTGGGTCCAGCTCTTTATCTACTGAGCCACCTAACTTCCCTTGATACACAGTCTAGGACCTCATCCTGAAAGGCCACTCCTGGGTACACATCCCCTCCTCATTCTGCCTTGGATCTTTGATCTGAGAATGCGTAATAGGCGATAATGTTACCTGTTTCTGTCAAAGTCCACTGGTATGGATTTGGCTTAGTACACAGCCTTTCCTTGAGTGGTGGGGTATCCCTACTCAGCATTCTCTGTCTTCAGAGTTCTCCGTGCCCTGTCTTTCTCCCTATGCCTACCTGGGCAGGAAAAATTACTTTTTCCTGGATTTCCCCATCAGGATGCATTCTGGTGTTTTTTTCTAGATCTGTTTGGAGCAGGAGGAGCTCACTATACAGCTTTCTGCTACCCACCATCTTGGCTCAGCTTTTTGGTAGATGATCTCTCTTTGATCTGTTTTCTAGGTCGATTATTATATGAAATACCTTCTATTTTTTCAGTCTTTTAACTTTCATTGGCTTCTATTTAGTCCATTTTAATTTTCAGGAAGTCTGTTGCTTGGATTAAGTTTTTTTTACTTCTTGTGCCAAGCTGTTAATCTTCTTTTCAATTCTCTCTTCATAGCTCTCATTTCTTATCCAGTTGTTTTCCTCTAGCACGTCTTACTTCATTTATAAAATCATTTAAGAACTCTTGCTTCATGTCTTTCAGGAGTGTTGGACTTAGAGTCAGGATGATCAAAGTTCAGATCCTTCCCTAGGCACTTAATGTATGCCTCTAGACACGTCACTTACTAAGCTTCTCTCAGACTAAGTCTACTCATCTGTAAAAATGGGCTTAAAAAAATGAACCCTACGGCACAGGGTTGTTGGGAGAATCAAATGGTTGATAAATGTAAAGTGCTTTGTAAATCTTAAAGTGCCATATAAATGCTAGCTATTATTATTACTTCATTTATTACTGGGATCTGTCAGAAATTCAATAAGATTTGGTATATCATTTTCCTTTGCCAAAATGTAGTTGTTTGGGGTGTCTTCCAAATGATGTCATGGTAAAAATATTTTGTTTCACATTGCAAATAGGTTTCTAACATAGACCGTCTACTTATGATTGAATATTCTTGCCTTTAGTCCAAAAGGAAAACAGAAACAAACGAAGACAGAGTCTCCAAGTGACCCAAATACCTCACTGCCTTTGACCTGGACGAGCTCTTCTGTCTCATCTCATGGTAAAAATGCTCATTTGTTTTGCACCCCCATTTTATTCTGTCTTTAAAGCCCTCAAGTGAGACTGAGGGGATTCCAGCAGTGAACTCATGTCCTTAGTAGGTCTGTCTTTGCTTCCCACCTGTATGAGCTCTGAATTAGTGTCCTTGGCAGCTTGAAATCCTATGTTTGTGTTAACAAATGAGAGTTCAGCAAGTCATTTAACTGCTGAGCTTGTTACCCCTAGAAATGAAGATTTCTAACTAGATCAAAGCTCTGGTCATTTTTCGTGTCCCCCAAATATGAGACTCTATACAGACTACATTATTTAAAGTCTTCCATCATGTATTTGTTGCTGTTATCATTGTCATATATAGTTTGAACTTATTTTGAAACATGGGAAATGGGGGTTTATTGTGGCGTGGTGGGTAAGGCTTATTCAGCACACTCTTCTCTCATAGATGCCATGACTGAGAACTCTGAGAATATGTTGATGTTCAGTATAATCATAATCAAGTTTGAGACTCTACCATTTTTTAATTCTAACATGGTACAGCTGAATGAGTCATCTTTTCAGGTCCTAAATAACTGTATGGGTCTGATTTTTCAATGCTGTCCCCTTAACAAGCACACTCTCTTGAAATTGAAGTTTCAGACCCCGGTGATGATCCTGTTGGATATGTAGTTGATGAAGCCATTGAGGGACAAAGTTCATCATCATATTCAAATGTACAAAGCCAAAATGGAAATGATACCTATCCAAGGAAAAGCACATCGTCCCGGGGTAAAGTTACACCAGTTGAAAGAGGTAGGATATAAATAATTTAATAATTTCTTCTTTAAACTGGTGCTTTTAAGGACAGGGATTTTTTTTTTTTTTAAATGCTTGTTGATTGTTTAATTTGATTGACTTATGCAGTATCTCTGTTTAAATGACAGATAAGTCATTTAATAGCTAATGTATTTAAAGTATAAAAACTAGATTTCCTTTTTTTTTTTAAATTGCCCTAAATTCAGTGTTCTTTGTAATTGCTAGCCTGAATAATTTAATAGTATCTAATTTGGATAAAGTATATCGTTTTAACTTCACTAACACCTCAAATTTATATTTATATGTTTACATATCCAAAATGAAACCAATTTTTTTTCTTTTCCCCCTAAATCTGCTCCTTCTCTTGCTTTCATTATTTCTCTCTCTGTCACCACCTTTCACCAAATCTCCCATGTCTATAACTTCAGGGTTTTCTTTGGCTGTCCCTCCACCATTCATATCCACATCTTGGTTTGTGGCTTTTTTTTTTTTCCCAATAAAATTTTACTGATAACATTTATTTTTCCATTGCCTACATTTTACCCAGTGTCACTCCTCCTCTCTTGCCCCAGACAGCCATCCTGTATAACAAAAAAATATTTTTTAGAAGAAAGAAAAGAAAAAGCAGAAAAGCACTCATTACACCCCTCTGTACTACTGTTATAGCCTCCTAATAGACATTCTTTACTTCTGCTCTCTTTCTCCCTTCATATGGATAACACAATAATCTTACTTGGATAAAGCTTTGATTATGTTGCTCTGCTTAAAAAAAAAAAAAAAAAAAAAAACTTAAGTGGCTCCCCATTGCCTACTTAATATAAAAATCAGGTGCCTATGTTTAGCATTCAGGCCCCTTTAATACAGTGTCACTCTCATTTTCCAGGTTTATACATGATTAAATGTTTCTCTACTATGTACTCTAGCCAAACTAGACTTCTTTCTGCCCTGTAAAAATACATTCCGTCTTCTTCCTTCTGTACTTTACTATGCTCTTAACACATGACTAGAGTGTCCTTTCTTCCCCATAGCCTACCACTCTTCACCTTTTAAAATTCTTAACCGTCCTTCAAAAGCCAGCTCAAATGCTATATTCCACACAGAGTTTTCACTGATCTTCAATAATGCCTATCCCCATTGGACTGCTCATCCCATTTTGCTTCATATGCCTTGAATGCATTCATTACGTTTTATATATTTTGGTTGTCATTATTTGTATTGTATCCCCCTACTAATTGTAAGATCCATGAGGGCAAGAATTATGTTTCATCTGAACTTTGTACCTTGCCCGGCACCTTGCATGGTGTTCTGCACACAGTGGGTGCTTAATACATTTTAAGAATGACTTGACTGAGAGCAAATGGCCAGTACATATTTCCTAACAAATTGTGATTTTGAAAAAAGAATTTAACAGGAATTAAAAATTATTCTGAAAAAGTAGAGAAGTTATCCGAAATGAGGAGATCCATCAGTGAGACCAGTGAGATTAGAACTCTTGGGAAGTAATATGTTAGGAGACTAAGTGGGTGTTTATGATCAAAATTCAGATGGTTTAAAGTGTTAAAGGGGGAGAATCATAGGTTTTCAATTCAGTGCCTACCTTTACTATTACTTTTCTTTTTAACCTGGGGTCATGTAATGTCTTGTACTCCCATCCAAGAGTATTTATTCGTTGAAATGCTGAGACAGTCTTTTCCCGTTGATATGCTGCTGATCGGAGATAGAGAAAATCAAGAAACTGTGCTCAATGGATCCACCTGCAAATTTAGGTTGCACAATGAATCTTGGCTGGGTCCTCACTGCAGTAAGGCAATCCTTTTTACATCTCCCTAAAACTGACTCACTATCCCCTCACCACTGCAACTATTTCAAAAATGTTCACCCCTTCTGAACTCATCCATTGCACCCCCTCTAACCCAAGCCTCTCATGAGAACCTGGCCTCTTGGCAGTTTGCCAGAAGCTCTCTCTTTTCCCTGCCTCTTCATCTCAGATCACTCAGATGTCTTTCCCCACTGTCTGATCCTTTACTCCTGTCTCATATGAAGAGGTGGCCTTTTCCTTTGCCAAGGTGAACTCCTCCATATGCACCCTTGATCCTATTCCATGTACCCTTCTCCAAGCTGCCTGCCCTATCATCACCACTCTTCTTGCCCTGTATATTGGGTGCTTCAGTGCTGCCTACCAACATGCTCATGTCTCCCTCCCTCATCCTTAAAATATTCTCACTTGATCCCACTGTTTTTCTCCTTCCGTTCATAGCTAAACTTATTAAAAAGCCATCTAAAACCAATAGCTTCACTTTCTGTCTTCTCAGCCCTCCACAGTCTTGACTTCCAGCTTTCTCATTCAACTGGCACTGCCCTCCATAGTTAGGAAGAGGATCTCTTACATGCCAAATGGAATGATCTTTTCTCAATCCTCATATATCTTGACTTGTCTGGAGCCTTTGAAAGTAGTGGTCATTCGCTTTTCCTGGATAGTCTCTCCTCTATGGTTTCGAGATGTTACTTTCTGCTGGTTCTCCTACCCCTCCTTCTCAGTCTCTGTTGCTTGATCTTGATCCACGTCTTGTCTGTTAACCCTAGATGTCCCATCTGGACTCTTTTCTCTTCTTCCTCTTTCTCATTTGGTGATCTCATCAGTTCTCATGGATTCATTTATAATCTCTTTGGTGGTGATTCTTAGATCTGCCTATCCAGATCTAATCTCTCTCCTCACCTCCAGTCTCCCATCTCCACCTGTCTTTTGGATGTCTCTGACTGAATGTCCTGTAGACATCTCAACTCAACATGTCCCAAACCGAACTCACTTTCTTTACCTCCAACACTTCACTATTATTGTCAAGAGCACCACTATCCTCCTGGTCACCCAGACTGCCAACCTCACCGTTATTCTCACTTACATTCATCCCACATATTCACTATATTGCCCAGTTCTATCATTTGTGCCTTTACGACATCCATCTCTCCTTTTCTCTTCTGACGCTGCCTCCACCCTGGTGCAGGCTTTATCATCTCATATCTAAACTGTTGTAATAGCCTGCTGGAGGGGCTGCCACCCTTAAGTCTCTCCCCGCTCCAGTCCATCCTCTGCTCAGCTGCCAGAACATTCTTCCTGAAGGACAAGCCTGGCCATCTCAGCCCCCTATTTAGCAAACCCCAGTGGCTCCCTATTACCTGTAGAATCAAATATAAAATCTTGTTTATCTTTTAAAGCCCCTCACAGCCTAGCTGCTTCTACCTCTCCAGTTTTCATATATGCACTCTATGATCCAACAGTACTAGCCTTTTTGTTCTTCCCACATAACACTCCATCTCTTGATTCTGTACCTTTTCACTGGCTGTCCTGGAATCTTCTCTTTCCTTGCCTCTGTTTCCAAGTGACATTTACTGTACTTGTATCCCCAGGTTTTAGCCCAGTACCTGCCATGTAGTAAGCACCTAATAAATGTTTATTGGCAGACTGATTTATGGTGCAGTCTTTGAAAAAGTTTGCCTCATTTATTCAGACTTCCTTTATTAACTACAGAGCAGCATGATAGGTTGAGCAGGGAGATAATTAGCACATTACCCCTAGCTTGGTATAGGTTATAAGTTTATTAGGAGTAAGAGAAAAGAGTGGTATTAGGGTACTACGTGGGATTGGTAAAAGGAAAGATTTCCTGATGGGATCAGGAATCCGATGGCAATGAGTCCTGAGAAAGGATTATGTTACGGGAAATATATTAAAACATGCATGCACACAAACACACACACAACCCAACAAAACTTTCCCTTTTGGTGTTAGTGAAGACTAGGTGACGTGCTTTTGTATGTTAACCTTTCAGAAAATAGTAGTTTTGTTTTATATGCAGGCTTTAAATTAAGTTAAGTAGTTTGTCTACTTAAATAAGCCCCTTTGTAAATAGATACTTTTTGTGTGTGTGTGAGACAATTGGGGTTAAGTGACTTGCCCAGGGTCACACAGCTAGTAAGTGTCAAGTGCCTGGTCTGAGGCCAGATTTGAACTCAGGTCCTCCTGACTCCAGGGCTGGTGCTCTATCCACTGCACCACCTAGCTGCCCCTGAAGTACTTTTTTAAAAATAATTTTTCAAAGACCATATATTTTCTCTTGGTTGTAAAAAAAAAAAAAAAAAAAAGATATGAATCAAATGCACATAATTACTTTAAGGTATATAAGATCCTTTGTATATATTTCATCTCTGTTAACTCAGCTTTGAACCTTAATAGCCATCTTAACAAACTCAATCTTAACTTTTAAAAATGATCCCTCCTATTTTAGATCAGTCCATTGACGAGCTTCTTACAAATGGTAATGGAAAAGAGCACCGGAAAGGAGTGAAGAGAAAATTACTTACTGCATCAGAAGATGATGAAAGCCTGGATGAAGAAGACGGAGAGAAAAAAGGTACAAAAGAGAAAACATGTTTATCTTCATCAGAGAGTGGGGAGTCTAGTTCAAGTTCCGAAAGTTCATGTTGCTCTGATACAGACTCTGATTCAAGTTGTAGAACAGACCATGATTATGTAGAAGGAGACCACGACTACAGCAAAGTCATTCATACTAGACCTAAAAGAAGGATCAGAAAGGATCTCGCCAGTGGAAAAAGACCTTGGAAGACTAGAGGAGCTGGAGGAAGGGGTAGATGGGGCCGATGGGGCCGATGGAGCAGAGGAGGAAGAGGAAGAGGAGGCAGAGGTCGTGGAAGTAGAGGAAGAGGCAATGGAGCAAGGGGGAGAGGAAGAGGAAGAGGAGGGAGAGGAGCCTCCAGAGGAAGCTCCAGCGTCAAACGCGCACGCGTTGCAGAAGATGAATTCGACAACATGTTTGCAGGTCGATTTAGTAGACTGCCCCGAATTAAAACAAGAAACCAAGGTCGGAGAACCGTTTTGTATAATGACGATTCTGACAATGACAGCTTTGTTCCCACTGAAGATCCGTTGAATCTCGGTACGTCCAGATCAGGCAGAGTACGTAAAATGACAGAGAAGGCCCGGGTTAGTCATCTCATGGGATGGAATTATTAACAAATGAACATTTTAGAAGAGTTTTTAAAAATCGGATCCCAATGGCCTTCTTCTACAGGGAACTTACCAGGCAAATCTACCGAGCAAATTGTGTGGGGACTTTCTGCTTCCTTCCAGTGGTGCTTTTTCATTATGCCAGTATATGTTTGTTTTGAGACTCGAGTTCTCCACACTTCAATTTTCCCTGCAAGCCTTACTCAGTAGGCCTTAAATTAAAGAAATTCTGTTCCCCCCCCCACACTACATATTTACTATGTTAAAGGAGCTTCCGGCTTCTCTACAGTAGCATGACATTTTTATCACAAAAAGGAAATCGCCCTTTTTTTTGATTTTGTATTATAGAAATTACAGCACCTTCTTACAGAGTTTTTATATAGTTTTTTTTTTTTTTTACCATTTTGATTCCTATACACAGTAATAATGATAACTTTTGCACAATACACCAATCCTAAAGGCAGCTATAAAATGTTTACAGTTTCTATATTGTAAGAAGGATCTGGATTATTTTAATCATCCCAGGCCAAACTTTCACAAATTGTACTGAGCTGAAGTATATTTATACAACAGGTTTTGGGGGGGGAGGGGGGGGGGACCTGAGCAAGAAGGTGGGGAGCCAGGGGAATCTTGATATGCTTTTCATTGGTTCTTCATGTTAAAAGGTGAGAAAAGGGTTGGTGCCTTGTAAATATGTAGCAAACCTTTGCTGTGGTGTGTCCTGATGTGTGCATTAACTTTATTAAAAACAATACTTGAGAAGTATCAAAATCTAGACAAAAGGTGCCAAATGCAAAAGTTACTTGCATCTGTTTTCTTTTTCTTATATTTTACTGCATTATTAGACATTGTGTAGCTAAAGGTTAATGTCTGAAAAATTCCTCATCTGCACAGAGTGAGTTCTCTGAATACAGTAGCTCAGCTACCTCTCATAAACGACAACTACTGGAAACCTAGAAGAAAATAGATGCAGTTCTGCATTATGAAGAAGAACTTAGAATTAGCTAATCATTAGAAATGCTTTGCTCACAAATGATAAGCCAAAAGGTTGTTTATGATCCTATTGGCTCTGACTTTAATAGCAGTAATTGTCAAACTTCCACAAGCCTTGTGTACTCTACCTTAGCTTGTATTAGAACATGTTTGTGTAAGTAGTATATTGGGCTGTCGTTTCTATGTCTCTGCTACTGCTTACTATTTAACAGATGTGGGTTGTTTGGTTTTCATTCAAATCTTGAAACTTAACATCTAGTTTGCTCTGTGATGTCCTAGCTGGCTAATATTTGGGGTCAATTTTTGTAGGTTCTATTCATACTATTTAAAAAAAAAAAAGGGCTCTTCTGTTACAGTCTTTTGGAAAAGAACCTTGTTGCACTGTATGCTGATGTTTTGAATGATGACTTTCTGGGGGTGGGGAAAGACTTGAAAACTCTTGTGCTCATGATTACAGCAATAGAATATATATGGTGCCATAAGAAAATTTGGGTTAAAAGACTTGTTTTATTTCTTGAATTTGAGACATTCATATTCATTGAGTAGCAGATATTTAGCTCTTGTGATGGAATGAAGAAGATCATCTCTGACTTAAACAGTAGCAAATTTGTTGGACTTCACCATTACTTACAGGATCAGCCTTGGAACCAGCTGATTCCTAATTCACACTCAGCCATCCTAATTTACTGCTTAACTACAAAGCTAACTACAAATCATTCCATGCTTTTGGGTGATTTAATTTTTGATCATTCCATCAAGAGCAAAGGAAGGGGTACACACACACACGCACACACACTCAACACACATGCACACACACACAACACACACACACACACACACACACACGTAAAATTTGGGGCAAATGAAGTGGAAGTGGAGGAAGGTATCTTGGACTGACATCCTTGAGCCTATTTCATTTTGTCATACGAGTAATGTTTGGGCATAACAAAAGTGTTATAGTGAAATGTTAATTGGCACTAACTTAGCTTCTTGGTACAGTAAATGTCACTGATAACTTTTTGTTGTAATCTTTTTCCTCACCAAACCCAAACTCCATTATAGGTGCAACTTAACTGCCACATTTTAATCATAGTGTAAATTCAAGCATCATTTTGCAATCTGGGTCTCCACATTGATTTTTGCCTATGTGCACTATTTCAGTCACTCCTCTTTTGTGTACTTAGAAGAGCTTGTGCCTGTGTTTTCCTGGACCTTACACTGAGCAGTGCAACATGGATACTTCAGTTAGTATGCGCACTCCAGTATATACCATCATAGATTCTTAGCATAAACTCCTTTTGACATTCCTCTATTAAAATGTAGTAGAAGAATTGCCATTTATGCAATCTTAGCTAGCTTAAGCATTATTTATTTATTTGAAAAAGAGAAATCACATTTTATTCCCCAAGATATTCTTCTAGGTGTAAGATCGTTTGAATAAGGTTAACTGTGTGTTTCTTTGAAGAGTTTAGTTTATGTCTCTTGAAATACTGTGAAGCTAATAGTGAAGCAACATTTGGCTCTAGTGTGAGTCTTAATCTTTTGGGTTAGAATTTTAAGAACAAGACAGCGGGTTGTGCCAGAGCAATGCAGTCCTCATTGACTGCAAAACATCTGTTTGCATGCAGACTTTCTATATGCATAAAAATAGCCTCAGTTTGTATGAGTCTTTTTATTTTTCATATTTGAACTTTTGTTTTTCAATTTAGATATTATTTTTTAAAGTATCCTCCTGTAGATACTGTGTAGATTTTTAAAACTTTCATACTTTCTCATTCCCATTTTCTCAGAGGCCATTTGTTTAAGCAAGACCTTGATTGGGCCCTAGAAAAAGTAGAGCAGGAGATTAATTGAGAGAGTTTGGGGCGGGGAACATAAAATTTTTCATTGCTAGGAAAGACCACTTATTTTTAGGTCCATAAAAGTATTTATGTACACATATCATTATGAGCTTGGTCTTCATATGATAGATTATAAATGGTTAGTGAAGCTGTTAGCAAGTCTACAGTGTTTCATCATATTAATGCTTTAAGGGCCTAATAATGAGTATACTGTGTATATTTATAACAGATTGGTTTGCCTATTTGGGAATGGGGTGTGTGTTGGGGTTTCTCTTTTCCAGCAATAAAAACTGTTCCCCCCAAGCCCCACTAGCCTCGTGGCAGCTAGCCTTTGAATTTCTGCATGCAGTTGCACTTCCCCCAAATCTTCACACCTTAGTTTAGACGGGAAAAGGAGCTTATTCAATAACATTATCCAATTCTTGGTTCTATACTACTGCTCCTGATTTACCTTCTAGGCAGTCCAGTTTAGGTATGTATCCATACGCCTCTGTTGAACTTTAATTTACTGTCCTTTTTATTTCCCTCTTTTTTTCTCTCCCTTTTTTCTTCCCTGAAGATCAGTGTTGTGTTACCGTTCTCATCCCTCCCAGAAGTCTAGGCTGACTGAATACAATTTGTGGAGCTTATTCTGCACAACTGAGGTCTCGAACAAAGTGTTCAAAATTCGAACTTACTTTTCCAACCCCCCCCCCAAGCAAAATCAGAATGAATGGATGTTGTTGTTTCTCTTAAACCTTATCCTATTTCTTCTTTTTCTTTCTCTTTTTTAAGGTTTTTTTTTTCCTATGGCTCATTTACCATTAGGCATCTATGGTAGCTTTATTGAAAACAGATGATGTGAATACCACTGCTGACATTTTAAAATTCAGCGCTTTTGAGCCTTTTCACAAGTGTATTATTATAGCTTAAATTAGAAATCGACAATACCCAGTTAACTAGTTTTGCGTTCCTGAGAATGAGTTAATGCCATTTTTATCAACAGGTGCTCACTTCAGACATTGGGATTTTTGCACAATTTTTAAAATATCTCAAGTTAAATATAATTAGATATATGTATCAGTCATTTGTTATCAGGATATTAAGTGATCACTACCATTTTGATTTCTGAAATTCACTAATTTTAGGAAAGGTTACATTTTTGATATATTGCATCAGTTGTTGAATGTTAATTCAGTGATATTTTATGATACCTGAAGCGTTGTCAAAAATGTATTGGAAATAGAATCTTGCACCATCTTTTCGAAGACCAATTTTTGTATCATAAAAGAAAGATTTCATCACTGTTTATTTTTGCTTTGAAAATCATCTTGGAGATTTTCCTTGCCCTTTCATTTTTTATTTGACATGAAAGTGAATACTTCCATGTTAACTAAATTTTGATTTGATGCCAATATAAAGATGAAAGTCATTTTTCCAGGTGCTACATTTATGCCATACAAGTGGCACTCATCTCCCTGATATTTCTATTTTTTACTTAATCCTGTTCTTATTTTTTTTTTTTTTTCCCCCTTCATGTTCTTGGAGCTCTCATGCTCATTTTCATTCTTTATTTCACTTTCTATGATATAAAACTGCTACCTACATTAGCACAAGTCAGCAGGACTGGCAATTGTGTAAATAGAAAATACTTTACAGCTTATAAATAAGGTGTGTTTGTTTGCCTAACTATATACCCCCTTGTATTGTAACACTTAACTTAAACCAAGAAAAGGAGACTTTTGTTGATTAAGAAGAGAAGGATTAGTACTTTCTAGAAAGCAAAATTGATGGATATCAGAATCTTTAGAAATCTAGGTTTGGAAATATTTTTACAATTCACTCTAAACAGACATATTAAATATTAGGAGGTACTAAAAATTCTAATTCTTAACCAATAGTGTGTGGTGATGGCAATCAGCAAATGACTTTTTTATCCTGTATCTTGTCATTCTATTCCTTTGTAAGCCCCTGCGTAGTATTAACAGCACAGTGATCTTCTTGTTCTTAGGGTCCATGTTTTGAGAAGGGAAATTACCCTGAAGTAATTGATGTGATATTGTTTATGGATAAGGGGTCTATGAAACTTAAAAATTCAGTAAGGAAGGCCAAGCTAATGTGACTTCTCTTTAAAAAAAAAATGGTTAAAGGAACACTTTGTTTGGAAACTCTTTGAGTGGCCACCAGTGCTAGTCTTTGGGGGGGGGGGGGGGGCGGGGATACTGGACTAACTCACTGCCAAAATGCACTCTTGCTACTTCATGCCTTAACTCATGGTTTATGAGGAGAGTCGGTAGCAAAGCATGAGAAGGTGGCAGATAACACTGGGAATTTCTTACTGTAGGTCCAGATGGGAACTTTAATAGAGTTAGCAAAATGTCATTTCTTGGCGTTTACATTTTTTGGTTCTTTTCTCTGCCACAGAATGTTTTTAAAATGTTGTTTACCTGAGAGACATAAGGAGCCTCCTGCTATCTAAGACAATGAAGGATTCTCTTCACCTGGGAAACAGTTACTGCTAATGTGTGTTGGGTCACTTTTAGTGGTGGTAAATCTGATGTTTACACTTGAAATCT